ATAATGACTTTCACCACTAAATGGGAAAAGTTGTCCATGGAAGACTGATCAAACCCCATTTGGTCCATTTTTTGGGCGCCCTGTTCCCCCCGCCACCCCACCCGAAATTGTATTACTTTGTGGCTTCCAACTTCGACACTCTTAAGTTTAGGTAACCCCCGATTGGTGGGCATTGAACCCCTGGCTTTTATAGAGGGTGAATGGAAAGATGGATGTTAGGCTTCCTCTCTTGGCTTCCATTTACCACCCCCCCCCTCCCCCCCAAAACAAAACAGAAAAATTGGTCCCAAGGAAGAGGCCCGAGCCCAAAAACCGAATGACAACCATTGCGTGCGTTTTCCCCGTTTCCGTTTGTGCTTGCGTGTTTGGCTGCGTTTGTGTTTGTGTCTGTGCGCGCGCCTGTGTCTGTGTTTGTGTCTGTGTTTGTGTCTGTGTCTGTGTTTGTGTTTGTGTTTGTGTTTGTCGTGTGTGTTTGTGTTTGTGTTTGTGCTTTTGCTTGTGCTTTTGCTTGTGCTTGTGTTTGCATTTACGGTTGCATTTGTATTTGAGTGTGTTTGTATTGTTGTGTTTGTCTGTGTTTGTACTGTTGTTTGGTTGTGTGTGTCAGTTTGTGTTTGTCTTTGTCTTTTTCTTTGTCTTTGTCTTTCTTTCTGTGTGTGTGTGCTTGTGTTTGTGCTTGTGTTTGTGTTTGCGTTACCATTTGAGCAACGTGTGCGGTTGTGTTTGCGTGTGTGTGTGCTTGTGTCTGCGTTTGCGGTTGTGTTAGTGTTTGTGCTTGTGTGTGTGTGTGTGTGTGTGTGTGGGGTCGGGGTAAAACCCAAAGAAAAGCTAGCCATTTGCGGGGGTCCAAATAGGTGTGCTCGTTTGTCCGCTTCACTCCAAACAAGGCGGCTAGCTCAAAAAAAGGCGGGGGGGGTAACTCAAAAAAAAAAACAGGGGGGGGGGGGGGGGGGTAACTCAAAAAAAGACGAGGGGTAACTCAAAAAAAAGACGGGGGGGTAACTCAAAACGCCACATTCCCAGGTTCCCATTTTGACACAGACATGTCTATATATGGTACACACCAATGGTCATGGGTCAGACAAGTACCCCCCCCCCTGTGGTTGTGGTCCTGTGGTTGGGTGGTGGTGGTTTAGGGTTGGTTTATAATTGGCTTAGGGTATATTTAGGGTGTATTTAGGGTTAGTTTAGGGTTAGTTTAGGGTTGGTTTAGGGTTGGTTTATGTTGATTTAGGGTGGTTTAGGGTTAGTTTAGGGTTGGTTTAGGGTTAGTTTACGGTTGGTTTATGTTGATTTAGGGTTGGTTTAGGCTTAGAGGTCTACGGCTTAGGGTTTGGTTTAGAGGGTATTTACGGTTCGTTTAGGGTTAGTTTAGGGTTGGTTTATGGTTGGGGGTGGGGCTGCTGGGGTGTCGGGGTGCGAGTTCAGGGGGTCGGGGTGGGGGTGCGTAGGTGACAGGATATGGGGGCTCGGGGTCTCGGGGCGGGGGGGGGGGGGTCCTGGGGGACCCATACCATATGGGGGGGGGGGGGTAGCAACACGGAACACGGGACCATATATATATATATATTACATTATATATATATATATGTATATATGTATATATATATATATATATTCAGCATGGAGGCGTTGTGGGCGATCTTGTCGGTGACCCCGAGGCGGCTAATTGCGATGGCCGCCGCCTCTCTCACCTGCCGAGGATATATGGGTGGCTCAAAATTAAAGGGCTAGGGTTACGCAGGTCTTAGTCTTTGGTTCCATTTAAGGTGCCGTTTTTGGTACATGTTTTTGAGCCACAGCCATATGGGGGTTGATCCACAAACGTTGATCAAGAAGGAAACCAACCATATAAACCAGGACTCGCCCTCTATTTGTTTAAGCAAACCCACCAAAAAGGACACCTATGGCTGGCCTCATTATTTTACCATGATCAAAGTCACCCCCCAAATGTGGTGGGATAAAGGGAAACAACCGATTCCATGTTCTGACTTTGATAACCCTCAGAAATCCTCAAAACAATGACACCAGTAACTTGGCATGGCCATGTAGGGAAACTACCAAAAAGATGGCTTTCAGCCCATGGTCATTTTGGGGCCCTAATTGAAATATTGATCAACCTCCATTTGAACAGTTGAATGACGAACCCCTCTGGCCAGAACGAACCCCCAAGGCTGTCCAATTTCTGATCTGCTAAAAGTTTACTTGTGGGTTAAATGGAGAGCCAACCACTAAACCAACGAAGGGAAGGAGATGGCTGTGAGCCACCAAGTTAAGTCACCAGAAACAAATAAACAAAATGTCCAGCAGTCATAGATTCCCTTTAAGACCAACAGTGGATTGGTATTGAAGAGCGAACCACAGCTGTCTTTTACAACTGACAAGGTCCAATCCCGAAAAGTGACTAAAGTCCCTGACCTCAAGTGAGCCTCTCTTGATTCCCTATAGAACATGTTGCTATCTGGAGATTCCTTTGTGTAGGTACCCAAGCCTGCATTTGGAGATGCTTCCCCAGGAAAAAGAAACATATTTCCAGCAATAGATTCCCTTTAAAGCCAACAGGGGGAAATACGATATTCAGCAAATCAATGCAAACGGAAGCTGGATGTGCCTGACGACTTCCCTTTGGGAAAATTGCACCCGGCCCCGCAAGAGGAGCCTCTGCACTTGGGGGGTTGAAAAATCAAGCGTGGCACCCCTGGCCAGGGAATTTCCTTTCGGTGTTGAAAGGTCGGAAAAGCCCTTGGTTACCCATTGCAAGACCCTAAACGGTCAGTACTGCGTTGTGGGGTACTTCAAAACCAAGTTATGAGGGCAACCCTTTTTATCAACCCTTTTTATCAACCAAGCCAAGCAGTCTCGAAAAACCCAAGAAGCCAAGTCAAGTCAATGGCAGCACTTTCTCGCGTCTCAGCCTGGCTGTGGGAATCCCTCATGCAGTCTGCCAAGTGCGGGGCTGCAAAGGTCGCGTTGGTCCTGCGACTCAAAAACCCTCCGACCGGGTTTTGGACCAAAGTCAAGGACCCAGGTCCTTAGAAGTTCATGCCTGGGCTGCCCTCTCCCCCGCAAGTTGTTCACTTTCTAGTGGTTTAAATGGAAACGACCACTAAACACAAGGCTAAAAAGCTAAGGGAGCCAAGATTCTGAGTGGAGACCCCCTGAGGGTGACAAGAGGGTAATCTGAGGATCTGAGGATCTTGGCCCTGGACCTAAACAAGCTCACCCCAATTGACCCTCAGACCAGGTGGAAACTCCCCCCAAGTGACGGCCTGGATGTGCTTCTCTTGTTCTTGATGCATTCCATGTTGATTTCTTTTTGGAAACATCAAGAATGCAAAAATATGCTGATCAGTTACTACCCAAACAATGGCTCTTTAGCAGCGGCTCAACTGCATGATCCCCACCCCGGGATTTGAGGGGGAAAAGTTGGGCAAACTGGAAGAGAGAGTCTCCCTGATGTCCGCCCTTAAGCCATAGAACTGGTCCAGACTCACTTGTTGATGAAAACGGAAGATGAAGTAAACCAACGGAAAATGAGGGGACATGAAGATGAAAGGAAAATAAAAGGGGAGAAAAGGTAAACAACATTTGGCAAGAGAAACGTGGCTCTCTCTCTCTCTCTTTCTCTGTCTCCGATCCGACCATAGTTGGCCTTTTGGAAAAATAGATGGCCGTGGTAAATGGAATAAACCCCATCCAAACCAGGTCCCTCTATCTCTTAAGCAAACCAATCAAAAAAAGGACACCTATGCATCCGCCGCTCGAGTTTCTCTCAGCTCCACAACTTCTTGCGCCGAAGGGCCCGATGCGCCCCAGCGAGACAGCTGCGGACCGCCGGACCACGTGGTCCGCGTCTTTCAAGCACTGGGTGAGCCGTGGCCTGGGAGCCGCCCGACCGAGCGAGGGAAGAACCGGGCCCGAGGGAAAGCAAAAACTGGGCTGGTTGTGGCCCCTCCAAACGTGGTGGGTTTTGACCATGTCAAAAAAGCATGGGCTTTGATAATGTTTAAACAACAAACATGTGTGTTTATTTTTTTTTCTGAAGCCCCACCAAATCAGAATCGGACACCCCCCTATAGATCAACTGGGATTTATTCATATGGGAACAAATGCCCCACCAACAACCAGAATCGGACACCCCTCCTCATTAATCAACTGGGGTTGATTCATATACGCTCAACAAATAATGGCCAAATCGGGGCCGAATGAGTCGTTCACAGTTGGGCCTCGGCCAAGCAACATGAAGCCACGGCCAACAATATCTTTGCTCAAAGCAGGGCCCAATCGAATGAAGCGTTCTCGGTCGTGTTGAGGGGGTCTTTGGAGGTCTTCTTCCGAACCATGCGCCGAAACGGATGGCTCGGGACACTGGGGCCTCGGGCACTGCGCTGGCCGCATGCTTGCCGCCAATCTGTCCTGAGCGCCGCGCTCTCCGCGGTCTCTGCGGGAAAGGACAGCTCCCGGCACGGACAGGCCGAACGAGTCCATGCAGGTGTGTTTCTTGCTGAGGGGGGAAAAAGCCCTGCACCTTGGGGGACAGCTCATCAATGATCATTCCTGGGCGGCCATGATTCAAAATTTCTGCCTTAGTGTGTGCCTGGCATCTTACAGCGACCAAAATGCCAAAAGGCGTCGGCGCTTCTTCTAAGAGTTTGACCCACCCCTCGTTTCACCATCCTCTTGGGGGGTCGACTCCTTGATTTGTCTGCCAACAACGGCAACGGAGCTATTTGAAGTGGCCGACATTTATAGGACTTCTCAAGCAGCCAGCCAAGAAAAAACCAGGCATGTCCTTCTGCCACCTTTCTCACTGGGATTTCAAGCCATCGCGTTGCTTCCCTTTTGGTCTCCCCGGAAAAGGCAAAAAACAAAAGCATCCCCAGAGCCTTCAGCTTCCACTGGTCACTGGATTCCCCGGTTGACCAACTTACTGGTGGGTTCCAAGATGAATGCCACTTTAGGTCCATCACAAAAGGAAGTTCAGGGACTGTCAAACCCCAGCGAAACGAAGGTGCGCGGTTGCACACACAGGAGGATTGGCAACCAACCGAACGGTTGGCTTCAGATGGGAAACCTATGACCAACTCCAAGGTCCGCCAACGAAGTGTCCCGATTCCACATCAGGCTTATAAGTACTTATAAGGCTCCCTTTCTTGTCCACAAGCACCAACCAGGGTTTACACAGGCCTGGTTATCCCCTTTAAAACAGGCAGGACCAGCCTACTTCGCTGGCCAACTGGGTATGTGTCTTTTCTTGGGCACGCTCAAAATGGACTTCGGAGTTTTACTCTTGGCTTCCCTTTAACACCACCGAAAAAAGGGGGGGCCTACCCCTCGCCTCATAAAAAGGATGCGCCAAGGGGGGGGGGGTACCCTTCGCGCAAAAAAAGGAAAAGCGCCACCCAAAATGGGCAGTTCAAATTGTTTATGGTTCGTGTTGGCCAATCCTAATCCATAAGCCCTACTGGAAGGCCACTAAGGAGACCGGTTCCCTGCCTAACCCGATTGGGGATTCCCTTAACTCAGTTCCCCAGTGGACTGGCCAAAAAAGACCCCTGGAAAAAAAGTGAGAAAAAAAAACGCAAACGCGGTACATTCCCTTCGGGTTAATTAAAAGAACATATTCATTCTTAAGCAAATGGAAGGAGATCAAGCGGGCAGCTTCGTTTCGTTCCCCCGCTTGTTTCACCAAAAAACACAAAAGCGCCGCGTACCGTCGTTTTCTTGGTTGACGTTGAAAGGGGAGCAACAATTCATGTTTTAGCAGTTAAGTGGTTGGAATTTAACGACTCAACCACAATAAGAAAACATGGGAAAAATGTTTCCCAACAACAACCGTGAAAGGAAAGGAGTTAGCACCCTGTTATTCGAAGGGGAATTCGCTAGGTGGCACCTTAACTACTGATCCTTCGGAGTGCGATTGGGTCCAGAGACGTGACACAACCATGTTTCGGTTTTCGGTTTCGCGTCGCGCAGCGAGCGGAACTTCCGTCGCTCTCGCCGCGCGCGGTCCCGAGGCTCCGGGCCCAGAGACCGCGCGGCGGCGGCGCGCACGTGGCTCTGGGCGTCCGCCAGACACGTGGCCAAGGCCTCCACCGAGCTGGTGGCGCCTCGTGTTCCGCGGGCGGGTGGAAAACGCGGGTGCCACGCGGAAAGGGCGCAGAAAAGGTGGAACTTGTTTGGAGAAGTTCCTTGTTTTTTCTGTCTGGTTGAGGCGCAAGATTCTAGTTGCATGGTGATTCGCATGTTTGCTTCAAAATAGATGTTTTTTTGTTGCAAATGGATGGCATAAAAGCGCAATATCTGAAGCAGTGGAACCCTTCTTTTTTGTTTGCCGAGCTAAGCGATCAAAGGGACACCTATAGGCCAACGGAACCTGATCGGGGGGTGTTCCTCCAATCCAACCCCCCGCCAAAACCATTCATAGGGCGTTGTTCATCTGGGTTCCCATTCATCAAAAGCGGTTGGTGGACACGCCCCCCCCCACCCCGCGAAATGGGTGTGGTTTATTGAGGGTACCCTTTTGAGGGAGTCGGCGAAGCAAACCCAGAAAGACTGCCACAAGTTATTTTGGAATGGGGAAGGCCTGTTTTCACACGTAGCCCAAGAATGTCCAAAGGGTCCACGACATGGTGCTGCCGACAGACACGGACCTGACGCAGGGCGGAAGAAGGAGAATGTTGGCAGCGCAAAGAACTGTTCAAATTATTTCTAACCAATGCTTTTGGAGGGATTTTTGAGCTCGTCATCCCGGCTGCCTGGCTCCAGAATCTATGCCCAGGTTGCCATCTCAAGCTGTTCTCAGAAGCATGGGTTCTAAATAGATCCCAAGCTGGAAAGGATACCCTCAACTCCAACAAACACACAATGGGTGTGCCTTGTTTTGGGGGAGGACCCCACAATGGTGGTGTTTACGGTTCAAAACTGAAATCTGGGGTGTGTGTGTGTGTGTTGGGATTTGTTTCTCTATGGTCTATGGTTTGCAAGGATCTGGGAACAGAACCAACCTAGGCCAGTCAAGAAAAGTAAGACGTCATCTTGGCAATTGCTCCAGAACCCTCAGGAAAACCGCCTGAGAGGTATTTTTTCGAACGAAGCTCCTTGAAGGATAATCCATGCGCACATCCAAGCCCCGTCCAAACCTTTTTGAAGCGCTGAGCAAACTTGATGCTATGAGGTGTGATGTACCCAACAACCGAAGAGCTCACTCCTACAATCACCAATACATGTAAACTGTTCAAGTACCCCACGGTCAGAAGGTCTTCTTTACAGCCCAAAGCTGGTGTTCGAAACCTACGTTTTGCACCCCACACCATGCGCCAGCCTCGTTCCACATATTCCGGCCCCTATAATATGGTACCGAAGCCCGACAACCCCGTTCTGAGCACTGAACGCCCAGCACAAAATGACACACCCAAAGCCCGTTTCAACCCCAGGCCCAAAAAAATCGAAAGGGAGTGTCGGTTGATGATGGCAATGTCCCCTTTTTCGGCAAGTGCCAAAATGGAACACCAAAAAGAAGAACCGCCAATTATATTATTATATATATATATATTTTCGGGGGCTTTCCAAAAAAACCCTTTGCGACACATATACCGACACCCCGCTCCGAGCGCCCCGAAGCCAGCGGTTCCCACGCCCCGCAAGCTTCGCGAGGCGCTGAGCATTCCCAGCGCCCCCGCGGCCGCGCTCTTGATCTCGGAGCTGGGATCCCGCAAGGCCACGGTGAGCACCTGGGGAAAATTCGAGACGAAAGACGAACGGGGGTGACAGACCGTGCTGGGTGTTTCTTTGTTGGAGGGTCCCCATAAGTTTTTGGCGCATAAACCAAAGCAGCGAGGGAAAGAAGAAGAAACACGGGGGTGACAAGAAAGACCAGTTTTCTAGGGGTGCCATATGGTACTTGTTTGGTTCTTTTCTCCAGGGCGGAGTTTTTTCAGCCGGCGAGGCGACCAGAAAGACAGACGGGGGTGACAGACCGATTCTGCCGGTGGAGCACCGCTTGGGGGTTAAAGATGCAAATTCCAACAGAGCTATGTGCTAACACGGCACTTCCCCCCGAAAAAAAAAAAAAAAAAAAAAAAAAAAGAGCAACAACAATAACTCTTGAAAAATACCTTCCATTTCCATTCTGAACCCGATCCGAATCTGTCCAACCCCAGAAACCCAGGGAAAAGGCAGGCCCCAGATTCTTGCAGTTGATTGCTTCTGTTGCGGGGTCCCAAAAGTTTTTGGCGTAAACAAAAGCGCGGAAAAGTCATGTCCCAGAAGCCATGGCGTGTTTTTTGTGGAGCTGGTACCCCTTGTAGAACAGAAACCAGGAAAACCCATGCCCTTTTAAGACCGCCATCACCTACTGTAGGTTCAGCACTTGCTATGTTGGTCATCCTTGTGACCTCCTCAAAATGACCCTCATGGCGGTAACCGTCCAAATCCCTGCAGGAAACTTTGCGCATTCCCTCACAAGATTCAGTGTTTTCCATGTGATGAGGGGCCTGGATTGGATTCCGATTTTGGACTCCAAGGCAGACTTAGTTCCAGTGCTTAAGCCTTTACTGTAAGGGGCCAACTATTTGTGAATGGGGGCTGGGACCATGGGAAAATCATGTTAGCAACTGTTTGCGGATATGTCCCCTGGACAAACATATGCCCAGGTGATAGATTCCCTTTGCAAACAACAGGGAAGTTAGGTTTATTCAGCCCCTTGTGAATGTGTTTTTCTTTAGGGAACTGTTGGATTTCCAAATGGCTTATCCGGGCGGCGTATAAACGGCGCCTAAAAAGCAAATGATGTGGGGAATTGCACTGCATGATCCAAATAGGGAAACGCGTTAGGCGACCGCAAGCTCGAACAGCACCACGCCTTTAGAACCAGGCTGCAACCTCCAAACAACCACCACCGACTAATTTCCGACCAATTTCTGACCAATTTCCGATTACCTCCGACCACCTTCCGACCACCTCCGACCACCTCCGACCACCTCCCAACCACATCCCGACCACCTTCTGACCCGCCGACCAACTTCCGACCACCTTCCGACCATCTCCGACCAGCCTTCCAACCACCCAAGGCCACATTGATGGAAACAGACGGGATTGACCTTCCTAATAAGCTTTTTTGGAATTCCAACAAGGGGAACCCCCCAAAATGGCTTCGGCTTCCTTTGGTTTCCCTTTGAAAAACAACCAAACCAAAGGGGTAGCCTTCGCCTCCAACAAAGGAACCACACCCATTTGAGCCGTGGGCTTGTTGCTCCATGTTTTCTGGCGATAGATTCGATCCCCTTTGAGGCCATCAGGGAAGCAATTCAGCCCCTTGTGCTACCCCCTACTCCAATTACCCCCCTTTTTTCAGGATACTTGCTTGAACCTGGATTTTCCAGGGCAAACAAGTACCTCTTTTTCTAGTCGCAGGTCGACCTCGCCCTAAGGCTCGGGAATTTGGAGCTTTCGGGGGTCGAGAAGCCGCGCCTCCAAGACCGGCGAGGAGCTCAGCCCTGAGCTCCGGTTTTTGGACGTTGGTACTTTCCGTTGGTGGGATTTTTGAGGGGAATCCCAAAGGAAAAAAAAGAAGAAAGAAAAAAGAAGAAGAAGAACCAAAAACGATGTGTGGGGTCTCAGAAAGAGATATACCCATGTAAAATTGTCACCGTTTTGAGGGTGCCCCTGTGTTTTTGTGGACCAACGGCAAAACCCTAATCTATGCTACTTTTGATTTATTCACTTAAAATTGTTCATTTATTTATGCGTGTTTTTTTTTGGGGGGGTCCCAAAAGAACGACACCCAAATTATTCTCAGGTTTGCGAGTTGTCGAGACCCTTTCCACCCCCTATTTTGATACATATGTTCATGTGCAGATGTTCGCCGCGACCCCTTTTCGGGGACCAGATGGCAAAAGCCGGTTTTCTCGCAGGACTGCAACCAATTTCTGGTCTTTCTTGGAATAGCTCAGCCATGGATTTCGGGCCGAAACATTGGAACCCTCAAACAACTTGCCAACTTGCTGGGCGGGTAAATGAAGAATGATCTATCCACAAGTTGGCACGTTGACTCAACGGAGTCCCTGAACCTGCTTGCGTTTTTTTGGTTTTGGGGGGTCACATGTAAGGACCCCCCGTTGCCATGGAACCGCAAACGTGTGTTTGGGTTGAAGCTGCTGAAAGGGGGGATCATAGTAAGGAATCTCCTTGGCGATGTTGGACGCATTGTAGTTTCCCAGAATTTCCCAGAGCAAGGGTTCTTGACCTCTTGAGGCGCCCCCCAAAAAAACCGTTGAACCACCCTCCATTTTGTTGGAATTCCACGTGACGTTCGATCCCTTGCATGAGGCGCAGTATTGTGCTTCCTAAGCGGATTTGTCCAAAAAGTCTGAACTTGCGGTCTGCGACTAAAATGGTCTTCCAAAAAGTACAACGTCCAAGGATGACTTTCTGGTTCTCAGTAGGAATCAAGAAGGGGGTCGATAGTCGAAGGGGCGGTGCGGGATGCCACCTAAGTCATGATCAAATCCCGGTATTAAAATGGTCTCAAGGTGGCTGCACCCGTTTGCAGTTAGGAGTATCCCTTACTAACCTTCATCTACCCGGGTTTTGATTGCTCAGTTTACACCCCTTGGTATGGTAGCGAAAAACTGACTGTATTGTTTGCAGTCCCCCAACAGAACCAAACAAAATCTAACAACCTCTAAAAACTGATCCGAGAACAGTGAAGCTCACTTTACCATGGTTATACCTGACTAATCCACCAGCACCAACAAACACACTCTAAAAACCTGCAACAGTGATCCAACAACCCTGAAGCTCCCCTAGCCTTATCCTCTTGCTGTGAGGCGGGGGGGGAGGGGGGGGGGCAGGTCAGATTTCTCCAACTTGATGCAGCCCAGGAAGCCCAGGAAGCCAAGGGCGCCCAGAGCCTGGCCGATTTGGGGCGATTTGAGGCGATTTTGATGGCGATTTTTCTCTGGTGTCCAGACGTATTCAAAAAAACAAAGAACATGAGCCCCCCATTTGTAGTTGACCTCCTGTTGGTTTCTTTGGAGTAAGGCCCTCTTCAGCAACGTGAGCGGCGCACCAGAGTGCCACAGAAGGAGAAACTAGGCTTGGGCATAGGGGCTGATTCCTTTTCCATTCTCAGCCATCGCTCTTTTTCAAAAACCGGATCCGTTTTTTCCCTGGGTTTTTGGCGGTTTTCTAGTGGAAAGGCTTGGCCTTCCCCAAGGACCTCCTGCGGAGAATTCGGTTGCCTTGCTGCATCCCATCTGGTGGTTGCGGGTGACGTTTCGGGCTTCCAGATGTGCATGGTTGCAAACAGCGGAAAAAAAGGGGGACATCCACGACAAAGACAAAGACAAAGAAGGTGGAGTCTGATGGATCTCTGAAGGCTCTCAATGCTAAGAGATGGATGCCATGTCCGTGGAAAAGCTTCCAGTCGCAAGTGGCGTTGCAACATGGGGGGAGTGGCTGGTCATTTGTTACAAATACATAGAGTGTTACCATGATATAGGTCAAACTTGAACCACCGGACAGCAGCTTTTGGTGAACTTGTTTCCATTTGCCAGGGCGCTTGCTATTTTGGGGTTTTCTTGACCCACACTTATGGGGCCGAACGCCAAGGAAGACTTTTCCAAGGGTTCTCCTACTCCACTCAAGGAATGGGCCTATTTCCAGCTAAAACCTGGCTAGCTTGGTTTATATGGGATTATTTTGGGTAATTTCTCTAGGGCGTAATCCAAGGGTGTAATAGGACAATCCTTAGATTTTGGCTGGCCATGGAACCTGGGGGAGCTACAACGATTTTCCGAGATCCACTAACATGGACCCCCCCTGGAGGCTCGCGAATTACACCTTTTTCTTTGGTTTTAGAAGGGAAACCGAAAGGTAAACCACAATTTGTGGGGTTCCCAAAGAAACGACACCCATATGGGTTTGTCATCTTCGTTTGAGGGAACCCCCCAAAAATGTGTGTGATGCCCCTTTGGTTTCCCTTTCAAACAACCCCCAAAGGGTACCGAGCCTCAAAATCGACACACCCATTTAATGCCAACTGTTCCTGAAAAGGGCTCCGTACCGGAGACAGCCCCAAGGGGCGGGTGTTTCCGGGCGCGTTTCTTCTCTGAGAAGCCGGCCGCCACACGCACGGACTCTTCCGCATCCAGGGATGCTTGCAGCATGGCCGGCAGCGCCTGGGCAACGATGTCCCACTTCAGCATCCCCCAAAAGGGTGGTTTTTTGTGCCGACTCGGTGTGGAGGGCTGGTTCCGATTTGCTTCTAGGTCCTGTAGAGAGGTTAGAATAAGACTACCCTGCTTCCTGCAGTCTATTTTAGTACCCCAAAAAGGGTAAAAGGGCACTTCTGGGGGACCTAGGCTTTCAAAGACCAGGGGGTCAACTCCCCAAACCAAGCCAAACCACCAAAGGATTACCTCATACCTCCAACCGCAGCGTTGGCACCGGGTCAGCCGAGACCGAAATGGTTTGGCGCTTGGCCGATTTTGCCAGAATTGTTGCTTCTTGGTAGCTTCCAACCATTTCCAGGGATCTTCCGTTGAACAGAACGATGGGTTGAGGAAGAACTGGAGAAGCAACCCCTGGAACATTGCTTCACCCGCCTTCCTGGGGTTTCTTTTAGGGCATTCGTCGCCAAATTTGCAGCCCAGACCCAAGGCCGAAGGCCAGTCAAAGACAAACGGATCCACCCTGGCTCATGGCCACGATTAACTGGGACCAACAAACAAACAAACAAACCAAACAAACAAACAAACATTGGAACGGACGAACGAACAAACCAAAGAACAAACAAACCAACGAAGGAACAGAACGTAAAACCGAGCAAGCAAGCAAGCAAGCAAGCAAGCAAGCAAGCAAACAAGCAAACAAGCACGCGAGCAAGCAGGCAGGCAGGCAAGCAAGCAAGCAAGCAAACAAGCACGCGAGCAAGCAGGCAGGCAGGCAAGCAAGCAAGCAAGGAAGCAAGCAAACACACAAACAAACAAACACATAAGCGAGCGAGCGAGCCAGCCAGCCAGCCAGCCAGCAAGCAAAAACACGCAAGGAAGCAAGCAAGCAATCAATCAAGCAAGCAAACAAGCAAGCAAGCAAACACGCAAGCAAGCAAACACGCAAGCAAGCAAACAACTAAGCAATCAATCAAGCAAACAAGCAAGCAAGCAATCAAGCAAACAACTAAGCAATCAATCAAGCAGTCAATCAAGCAAACAAGCAAACAATCAAGCAATCCAAGCAAGCATCCTCTATCTGCACGGCCCAAAACTCCTCTGACAATTCCCATCTCTATGCATTTCGCGGCCTCAGAAGCAGCGCGGCCAAGTTGTCCCAGCGCAGTGGCGACCTTGATATGACTTTGGGCGTGAGTTGATGCGGCCAGGCGTAGATCGGAACTCCTCACAACGACCCAGCTCTACAACCCTTGCTATGATAGCAACACTAAAAATGAACAGAACCTAAAAACCTTAAGACGTGAAGCCGCGACGACCGCTTTTTGGACATCTCAAGAGAGCTCTTGGAGCCTTGGACATGTGAGGCTGGACTGGTTGTTCTGTTTGCCAGTGTGGTTCTCAGAATCAGCCCAACCACAGGGTGGTTTCTCTTTTTGGGATCTTTTTGAAATCATCCAGAACAGGCGGCCTAGTTGGGTCGTTGGGTAGATGCCTTCATTGGGGACCATTTGTGGACACCATGGTTCTATCTGCCTTTGACAGCTGCGCTTTTGCACGCATATCATATAGTGGCTGTATCTCCCATACCCCTGGCATTTCTTCGGGTTTACCATCTTGGATAGTAAGAATTTGGAATCCAAACCTGTGTCGGAATCAAAACCCGGTCTTAAAACGGTCTATCCAGAATGTACAGAATCAAGAAGGCGGCCACAGCTATTGGCCCAGAGCTCAAACTCCCGGAGGGTCTATGTGGAATGATCCACCTAAGCCTTGCGCGTATCACGTACAGTTTGAATAGGGACCCCGAAAAGTGGTTGGACGCAACACTTAAACGTCCACCCAAGGCTTCCTTATTGAAATTCAGACCCATCTTGCAGTTCATGTGTTCTTTCGGTTTCAACGGTTTCTCTGTAAAACCAAGCGTCCCTCAGGCCCCATTAACAGTTGATGAATTTGCCGGTGTCCATTGAAACGATCGCCACTTTCTTGGAGCTTCCAAAAAAGGAACTGGCTCGGAAACCCTGACCATAGGTTCCTTTTTGGTTGTGGTAGAACATAGATGGCGATTCCTGGTTGACCTAGCCTCATAACTTATTTTGGGCCATCCATTTTCCACCAAAAAGATGATTCGTTCGCCTGTAAATAGCATCAAACAAGTGTTTCAACAACGGCTTCATTTCGTATTTTAACAATGGCTTCATTTCGTGGTGCAAACGGATTTCGCAACGGATTGACGTGGACCTTCCCTAAAAACTCCCACCCCCTTTGTTTTGGAATAAGGCTTCTTTCTAGGGGCACCGTTTCAAATTCGCCCAAAAAAAACAAAAAACATGGGAGTACACTCAAAACAAGATGACACACCCAATCTTTCACCCCGAAAAATAACCCCCTGGTGTATCTTTCACCCCCCAAACAAATCATGTGCCATGTTTTTTTCCTTTGGGCTTCCCCTTTAAGGGACGTTTCTCACCCCAAAACACTCACGTCCTGGCCCTTTAAAAGGGCGCGGATCGTTGGTCTCCGGCCGCCGTCGCTGGGGCTCCGGGCGGCCGCGCGGACCTCCTCCTCGCGGTCGCGCAGGGAGACGATGAGCGAGGGCACCGCCGGCGCCGCGTGCTCCCCCAGCCTGGAGCAACGAACGGGGAAAAAAACGAAAACGGATCGGGGGGGGCCAAGCGGCTCCAAAAAGGGGGCGCGAATTGAAGAGTTCAAAGGGTTCGAAGGGCTGCGTTTAAAGGTTCCTTTTTTTTTCCGAGTTCAATGAGTTTTGCAGAGGGTTCAACAGGGCTTGTAACAAGGCTTGGAAAAACGAACGAGAGGGAGCGCATCGAAGGGTTCAAAGGGTTCGAAGAGGGTTTAAAGGTTTTGTTGTTTGTGTTGTTTTTTCCCTTTTCTTTTTCCGAGTTCAATGAGTTTTGCAGAGGGTTCAACAGGGCTTGTAGCAAGGCTTGGAAAAAACGAACGAGAGGGAGCGCATCGAAGGGTTCAAAGGGTTCGAAGAGGGTTTAAAGGTTTTGTTGTTTGTGTTGTTTTTTCCCTTTTCTTTTTCCGAGTTCAATGAGTTTTGCAGAGGGTTCAACAGGGCTTGTAGCAAGGCTTGGAAAAAACGAACGAGAGGGAGCGCATCGAAGGGTTCAAAGGGTTCGAAGAGGGTTTAAAGGTTTTGTTGTTTGTGTTGTTTTTTCCCTTTTCTTTTTCCGAGTTCAATGAGTTTTGCAGAGGGTTCAACAGGGCTTGTAACAAGGCTTGGAAAAACGAACGAGAGGGAGCGCCTCGAAGGGTTCAAAGGGCTAAGGTTTGTAAGTACAAGGATGTTTTTCCGGGGCTTGTAAGGGTGGTGAAGGGTTTCAAAGGCTCCAAAGGGGCGCTGAAGGGTTCGAAGGTTGAAAAACAAACGGGGGACCAAGCGTTTTAAAAGGTTTTTATCCGAGTTCAATGAGTTTTGCGGAGGGTTCAACAGGGCTTGTAAGTGTGTGGAAGGGCTTCAAAGGCTCCAAAGGGGCGCTGAAGGGTTCGATGTACTGTAAGCAAGACTACAACCCAACAAAATAATGATTCGAAACTTTGTCACGGAGAAACGGCTGTACTATACAATAGAAAGTCAACATTACAGCAATAGGTGATGGTAAATCTTGGCAGTACTTTTGCCAACGAACATGGAGGTGCACAAGCCTTTTTTGGAAGACTACTCTCCTCTTGGAAAGGAAGCACTTTCGTGATTCGTGCGAGGTTGATTCATTTGCTTTCTCCCCCATTTTGTGATCCCGGCCCCCACTATTGAACCATAGGACCCGTGACCCATCAACCCATCAATCTTGGCCCTTGCTCGGCATCCGTGGACAGCTTTCAAGTGGGGGGAAGTTCCCTTTGTCCACCGGCCATGTTTTGGATTCAGTCTTTCCTTACTCATGATAGAAATAATTATCGCCAAAAATGGATGTTCACTACCAACAAAAATACAATGATACTGACACTTGTTGGCTTCCCATGCCAACCACACAGATCTCGTTTCCACGCTCAGCACGCTCAAAGGGTTCACCTCATGAAAAGGCTGTGTCCGGACTTCGGGAAGCTGCTTTTTGGGAAATGCCCAACAGGGGAAGGGTTGCCTCCATATCTTCTCCCATAGGAGAGGTTCCTGTGTGGGGTTTGGCTGGATGGCCCATTTGCCCACAGCTGCAAACGCAAGGTCCGTTCTCCTTTGGGTTCCTTGACGAAAACCAAAAAAGAACAACCCTGTGGGTGGTCGTTTTGTATCTCATGTTGCAGTTGCCTTTCTTTCAGGGCGCCCGAATTGGGGTTGGTTTCAAGGGACGCCAAAAGGAGGAGCCAAATCTAGGTTTGAGTACCCCGCCTCCAATTAACATGGAACCTGACACAGGGTACCTTGTGAAGAAGAATGGTCTTCCAGGACCTGCCAGATAAAAAGCTACTTGGTGGTGGGGTCTTGGTTGACGTTTTTTTGAGCAGTTAAGTGGGGATTTCCCACTAAACCACAATAAGCAAAAATGCAAAATGCTTCCCAGCAACAACCGTGGGGTAAGTGCATTTCTTCGGACAGACATGCTGCTTGCCCAGCGCGAGCCGAACCGAACACGAGCTGAGGTCCCACCTGCCCTCTAAGTCTTCACCACTCTCCAAAAAGGGACACCCGCCAAAACGCGGTTTACCCCGGCTTCCCGTGGAGTTCCCTTTCTCAACACCGCCGGGCTCTTCAAGATCACGTCAGGGGCGAAGTCCAAAAGGGAAAACTTCCTTCAACCTAAGAAAGGGGTGCCAACCGGGTATGAATTTTAATTAGGGACCCTTTGGTGGACATCACTGACCACCAATCACTTTTCAGGGGGTTCCCTATTAAAATTCATAGCCAACCCAGAAAAACAACTTGCAACTGGCAAGCGCCTCTCCAACGCTCTTGCTGCCGCTCTTCGGACGAATCCTGGTTCAGCATGGGAGGCACTCAGAACTCATGTTGTTCTCTTCTTTCTTTCGATACCCTTGTCAGGTTGACTTAAAGCAAGCGCAAAAGCCAAACAACCCTTTTCGATGTATTTTGTTTGTTTTGGGGGAGAGTCCTCCTAATTTGACATACAGCCGTGTGGCGCTGGGTATGAATTTTCCATGGGGGGCCCTATGGACATCATGCATCGAGGGGAGGCCAATTTTCCAACCACTTTGGAGTGGATCCGGATCTTAGAAGTCTCGGCCACATGCCTTTGTCTCCAAAATGGTCAAGTCCTTTCGGCTGCTGCTTGCCAGACACTCAAGGGAAGCAGGAAGAACCAGCCTTTGTTTGTCCCCTGGTGCTTTCAGATGGGAACACACCCGTTGTCCGCGCAAAAAAAAACACAGCAGAGAATCCAGTTGAGCTCGTAGCAGAACAAACTCATTGTCCCCGATTTTTTAGAGAAATGCCCATCTCAAAACACGGCCGAAGGCTTTTTCCAAGGGATAGGGGACTTGGGGAAGCCCAAAGGATTCAAAAACCTGCAGAGGCCTTGTTGAGAGCCTCACCCTCTGGTCACTGAGCGCCCGAAACCCATTGACGGTTGGCTCTACCAGCATGATAATGAAGGTTTATACGGCGCCCTCATCCCATGAAACCAGGTAGCAACCAAACAACCAAATCCATGTTCAACTTCGCCACCATGTCCTGACAGAACTCCTGGTTGCTCCTTAGCTCCCTCTTCACAACAAATTTGGATACCCCAAGCTCCGTAAGCCCGTTTTGGACCTGGAATAAAAGGCAATGGGTTGGAGCCTTGAAATAGACAAACACTAGAAACCCCAAAGCTTAGACAGGTCGTTTTCGTTTTAGGCAAGGGCTTAACTATCAAACACTGGGCTGCTCCCAAATCTGCTGCTAAAGGGTACCACAAAATCTAAAACCCTAAAAACCGAAAAGAATGGCTGGGTATCACCAAGAACAAGGATCAATCGGAAAATCATCCCATTCCCTAAAAACCCAGCCGGGGAGTCCATCTTTAGAGGGGAACCCAGCAAACAAACAAGGCCCAAGGCATCGGTTTGCGCGTTCTGAACGACATGCCGCCGGAGCTCGGTCGCTATCTGTGAGGCAATCAGTGAGTGCTGGCACGGCACTCACCACCTCAGAAATCGAGTCGAAGGCGTGAGCTGTCCCTCACTTGCCCAAAGGACCCGGAAATACAAGGTTAACCTTTTGGCACTTCCACTAAAAAAGGACCAACACGGGAAAGGTCAAAAGGTCGGCTTTGGGCAACTGAGGTCCCTATCGGTGTCCTTTTCGTAAAATAGATGGCCGCCACCAATTAGAGCGAATTGGCAAACCACAGAGCCGGGTGTGGCTAGTGATGCCTTTGATGCGGCCAGCCAACCAACCAGACCGACCGACCAACCCCACTGACCCACCAACCAACCAGGGATCCAGACCTAAGAAAAAAAACAGCCCCAGGAAAATATATCACCTCATCCAGAATTTGTGTCTTCGAACAACGAAAATGTTCCCCTCACTCCCCTGTTTGGCCCCCTCGGCATTGCCTGGGACTTGGGCGCCTTTTCGGGTTGGAAGAATGCACACGACGTGCCGCAGGAATGAAACAATCATCAACTGGGTTCATTCCCTCGCCAGTTGCAGCGATGAGAGAATTTATGGAACCCATGCGGTCGGAGGCTTTGAAAGCATCATCAACTTGCGAGACGGGACTACCATGTCCCCCCCCCCCCGAGTCTCACCAAGGCTATTCCCTAAGGGTGTCTCCATGTCTGTGGTCGTTTGGGCCTGCGAGATGAGAAGGTACTACATCTTCACCGTTGTCGGATCATGTTTTTTTGTTTCTTTTCCTTTTTTGTGTTTGTTCTTTGGGTTTTTGGGTTCTGGTAGGTTTTTTGGGGGGTTTTGGGGCTTCTGGTTAGTAGGGGGTGGCAAAAAAAAACAAGTTGGAAGGGAGCCGCTGAGCCGGGGGCTCCCAAGCCTGCTTCCGAAAGAGGGAGCTACCAGGAGCTGCCAGATTTCCTTTGGCTTCCCGTTGAAAAAAGCAAAAACAAAAAAGGCAACTCTCCCACCCGTTTTTTACATGGAACCTGGAGGTTCCGGAAGGTTCTGGTTTTTGTTCCATGTTCCTTTTCAAAGGACCATGCATCATGTAAAAGCGGCGGGAGCTTGGTTGCAGTTGACCCGCCCTGCACAAAGCTTCACTCTTTGGGGCTTTGGTGGGAAAACCAAAACCTTGATTTCAACCTCAAGAAGTTAAAGTCTCAAGATCCGCCCAATAGTCGAGGGAGGCGCCCTCTCCTTTTTCGGAGCCGTCCCTTCGGCTTCGTCGCCGCGCTCCGAGGCTCCGGGGCTCCGGGGCTCCGAGGCTCCGAGGCTCCGGCCACGTGGACTCCATCCCGGTGGCGCCGGTAGCGCGAGCCGTCCGGCAGCGCCTCGACCTCGAGGCGCGGAGAGCGCGGCAGCGCGCGGCAGAGGCCGCGGCAGAGGCGGCGGATGAGGGGCGGGAGAGACGCAAAAGGGAAAAGGTGTTGGGAGGTTTTGGGAGGTTTTGCTTGGGGAGGATGGGGAGGCCTTTGTTTAAGGTGGGAGGGGCTGGTTTGGGAAGGCACGTGGGCTTTGGATGTAAGCTTTGGAGGCTTTGGGAAAGTTCTGGCAGAAGGGCGCTTCACAAAACACCCTCCCTCCAACTAGCAGAACCTTTTCAGAGAAATGTGAAACGTGGTCACAGACCTTCAGACAAGTGCCATGTTAGTGGGTGGGAGTGCAAACGGGCGGTTCCACCCCACAAATGGGCCTTCAGTTCCTGGACTTCCTTCCAGCAAAACAGGTCCAAAGAGGTTCCCTCCATGTTCTGACAGCCCCCGCCACCCGGTTCTCCTTGGGCTGCCCTCCCACCAACATGGAACCCATCAGACCCTTTCAAGAGCAGACTTGTCTTCCAGGGAAATCCAGTCAGGCTGCATGCCACACAACAATATGAGTTGTTCGCCTGGAGGACTGGGTGGGCCCCCGAGTGTTGACCAGGAAATCTGGGTGCGGCCTCTGCCCTGCTCATGTTGGTTGCTCGGAGCAGATTGGTGCAGCCACAAGGGCCCAGGCAGAATCTTCAGATTAGGATCCCCCCAAAGCCTGTGCTTCCTCTTGAACCCCAGGGTGTTTGAACTTAAAGTGTTGAAAGGGACTGCCTGGATTTCCCTCCAAAAGCTGCACGTGACTGATGGTTTCCCCTTGAAACGATCGCCACGTCCGGAGGTTCCAAAACGCGAAAAATGGCGGGACCCCAGTTTGAACATGGGGTGTTGAAAAGCACACCCCAATTGGGGGAGAGAAAACAAGAAGAGAAAAAAGAAGAAGAAAAAAAACGGTCACCTGAAAAAAAAAAAAAAAACAGTCAGGGCGAACAGATGCCTGAAGGCCCTTTTCAGCCGAGGCCCACGCGGAGCTGGTCTGGCCCGCCATGTTCATCAACGCCTGAGCCCGCGGAGGGCCAAGTGGTCTTGGAGGCTTGGAGGGTCGCCAAGGGACACCGCCCGATGAAAACCATCAATTTCCGGGTCCGGGTCCCCAAAATTGACCACTGAAAGTGAGCGTCGTAGAAAGAACCTCCGGCATGCGAACTTCCCCGACTCGGTGCGAGGCATGCGAACATGTATGCGATCTGTGCGGTCAGAACGCGTCCATCGCAAGCTGTCCACCTGGTTTTCGTGACCTGGAGGTTGCATGCAAGCGTGTCAAAGGACCCTCTGCCAGGTGCCACGTGAGTAGAGAGAGGTAGCAAAAAAAGTAACATTACACCAGGAAAATAGACGCTGACCTGTGATACTGGTAACCGGGATCCACTAGGCACCGTCTGAAACGTCTTCGATGATCCCTAAGCCCAAAGGCTGTGTTGATAAGTCGCATTGGTAGCCCGAAGGCTGTTTTGATCAATTAAACATGTTTCAACACCCCGTAGCAACCTCCAGTTGCTTCCCTTCCAAACTCATATTCTTCAGATTCTCCAGATTCTGGATTCCCATCTTCAGATTCTTCATATTTGACCGGGATCTCTGGATTTCCCCTTCAAACGTTGCGAGTTGCTGGTGGATTCCGCTGAAACCATCGCCACTTTTGGAGGTCCAAAAAGAGGAAAGGAAGTGATCCCTGGTGTGACCCATGAAAATAGAAGTGCAACCGCAGTTCTCGCCGCGACAAACCGCGTCGCAGCCATGCCTTGGTCGCATTGAGTCGCACTCGCCGCCGGGGATCTTTCAAGGCCTCGCTCAGAATGGGCACCACGGAATCGGAGTGCCTCGAGCACCGGCACCGGCCCACCGGCCCCCCCTGCATGGGTGGGAGGGGGGGGCGGGTATATGGGTGTGTTTTGGACCCCGGCTGCCCCTGAAAACCGTGGCCAAAAAGGGGAGCTTCCTGAAAATAACATACCCATATGGCTGTGTCTATTCGTTTGAAGGAATGTCTAAGAAAGAGGGACTGAGGGGGTTCGGGACCCCAAGTCCGATTTGTTCTAAAAGGGAAACGGAACCAATGGAATTCCAGGTCACCCCCCTCCCTCAATTCCATGGGGGGATCACTCTCCCCAAGGTAGACTTAAACCTACGTAAGGTGGTTCACTTCTTAAAATGGAACGCCCTCGTTGAGTCCGCCTTGGGCTCAAAAAATAGGTTTCCATCCTCATGACCTGTGACTATGATCTGCACAAGTAATTACCACCTGTCTGTTGTTTAGCATCCTCCCCTGTGTCTTTGACCCAATCAAGAGGTAAATGGAGAGCTCTGCACTTCCTACAATTTCACAACTAGAAATAAGAGTTCTAGGGGTACCTTCCCCATTCTTTTCAGGGATCCGAATCTTTCTAGAAAACCTCCGGAAACCCAGGGAAAATAGCCGGTTTTTCAAAAAAGAACGATGGTTGAAAAGAATGGACAAGGAATCAACCCCTAGAAGAGTTGGATCAGGATCCCCGAGAACAGGATCTACATCAGCTCGATTTTCCCCATCGACATCGCTCGCCATAGCCTCTATACGGGCACGTGCCAACACATGGTTTCCCTCTCCTCAAAAAGGGCACCACGCGCTCAGAATAAAAGCTATAGTGTCCGATTCCGGTTGGCTTGCCTTTGGCTTGACCATGTTCAGAAGTGTGACTTTCCCAGTGCTTCCGGTCACTGTTGTAGGTCACCAGGGAAAGAAACAAAAACCATGCACGGCAAACCCGAGGGATGGATTTTTGGCCGAGCCAAGGGGTTTTACCCGACGCTTGGGTGGACATTTCAGTGAGACATCGATGGTTTTCCTCCGCGTCCAAGAGGCGCATCCATCAGCAGAGACAGGCGGTACCTCACCGTGGAATCTGGGTGCTCTTCTGCGAGGATGGCCTCGGGAAATGAGGGGAGAGAGGGTCGAGGCCTTTTTCAGACAAGCAGAACACGAGAATCAAAGATACTTTGTTTGTTGTGTTGTCCCTTTTTAAATCTCATGATACCTATATATGAGCCAGCGTCTATATTTGCTGTGTGGGGTGTGTTCATTCTACTTTTAGTGAGTCCCCTATCGTTCTCCACGTTTCGCGTGTTCGTGCTGTGCCCGATGAACCCTCTGCAGGGATCGCGCGCCTCGAAGCGCTCCCACTGTGGCGCCGTGCGAATTTGTAAAGCGCCCGATGAACCCTCTGCGAGGATTGCGCGTGCCACAGCGCCCTCGCTGTGACGCCGTGCGAATTTTAAAACTGCCCGATGAACCCTCTGCAGGGATCCTGCGCGCCCAAGCGCTCTCGCTGTGGCGCCGTGCAAATTCGTAAAGTGCCCAATGAACCCTCTGCGAGGATTGCGCGTGTCAAAGCGCCCTCGCTGCGACGCCGTGCGAATTTGGAAAGTGCCCAATGAACCCTCTGCGAGGATTGCGCGTGTCAAAGCGCCCTCGCTGCGACTCTGTGCGAATTTGGAAAGTGCCCGGTGAACCCTCTTCGCGGTGACCACGCGTGCCCAAGCGCTCTCGCTATAGCGCCGCGCGAACTCGAAAAGCACCCGACAAACTTTCTACGCAAACACAGCACTGGAACCACACGCGTAGTCTTTTGTAAGCAAATGCACTAGGCCTCACATTTGCAACTCGGGCCAATGCTCGGGGTATCGACGGGGTATCGACCGGGGTATCGTTCTGGGCGTGTGTCGCGTGACGAAAATTTTCACAATTTTCCATAAGCTGTTAGAGCCAAGCAAACACACAATAGCCTTCTCTGCCTTGCGGTAATCATATATCAGTCTTGGCGGCTTGCTTGCTGGCAGCAACCTCAAGGTCGCAAGTCGCAACTTTCACCACAAGCGCAGTGCACAAGTTACACTTCGGCAGCTCCAGCTCGAAGGTCGCAGCTTGCGGCGGTCACGTGTCAGTCTAAGCGGCTTTTGCTTGCTGGCAGCAACCTCCAGGTCGCAAGTCGCAGCTTTCAGTACAGGCACGGTACACAAGTTAGACTTCGGCAGCTCCAGCTCGAAGGTCCAGCACAAACCATGTTCAGGGGTATCGTTTTTTGTGAGTCCCCTATCGTTCTCCAAGGAAAATGCAAAAAACCAGTATTGAATGAAACGCCGTTGATAAAGTGGTCTTTGATAATTCTGAGGTTGACTCATATACATATAGGGGATATGTATACATATATGTATAAAAATATTGTACAGGGGTTTCTCAATATTCCGGACCCCCAAAATGCACATGGGCAACGTTCTCCATTAGTGGTGAAAGTCATCTTTTTGGGTGGTTTCCCTGACCTTTTGATAAACCCCCATAAGTGTGTATATATTTATATCCATACATACACCATCTCTGTCTAGTATACACAACCCGTTGCACGTATACATACACAAGATACGTACATGTATCCGGATTATACGTACTAAGCTTGCAAGTTGCCATGCCATTTCTGACAAGACACTAGATTTCCCTGTCGAAGGTCGATTTCGTTGAACTTGTCGCCATTTCTGGACATCGATTCTTTCTCAGTTTCGACCAGGAAAACTTGCTGATGCTCAGTAGGGATTGACCTTCTGGGTGTTGGGAATGAACCGAAAGGTGATTCCCCTAGAGGAAAAAGCCCTTGCGACCAGAACCTCACGGACGAGAGAGGCCGCTTGTGTAGCCCAAGTGGCCGCATGTGGGTACAGCTCGTGAGCCAGCTCCAAGTCCTGTGACTCTGCGCTTTCTCGGATGCTGCGACAAAAGGCAGCCTGGCGTTGCGGTCAATCAAGCGTTGTCATGTGGGGATTCTCCCGTGCCATGGACACTTCGAGTGTATTTTGCAAGCCAAGAACCCCAAAAAAGCAAAACCCCAAAAGAAGGAGGTTGCAAAATAGACCCTGAGTGTCCATCATACTCCCCCCCCGGGAGTAAAACACAAATCATGGGTAACTCTGCCCATGTGGGAAAGTAACAGCTTTTGGTGGTTTTCAATAGTCATCCTATGAGGACCTTTTCAATGCACCCCCATGTACCACTCAGGGTGCGTCAAATCTTGCATCTCTTCTTGAAACCAGTTGCAGTATATAGTTTTTCCCCTAAAGAAAAACACCCCTATTTTGGGAGCGGGTATGAATTATTCAATTGGGATACCCCTTGCGGGTGCACCCGAAATCGGGCATTCCGCCAGCCCGCACCTGCATGTCGACCCCGGAGAAAGAACCCTGCGGAATAAAAGGGGTTTCCCAACCGGGATTTGGGTGTGGCTCAAAATTCACGGGCAAGCCGCAGGTTTTGGTACCCATTTTTCCGCTTACCGATCGGGCAAGCCATTTTGGAATTCCGGTTTTTTGAGCCACAGCCAATCCTCTTAAAAGGGACACACACCCGATCAAAATCAGCCAGAGGGTTACAACATTCCGGGGTCGGCATTACATGAATCGTGCGACGCCTCGCTCCAGCGCTTGTAGCGAATGATGAATGCGGGATACACCTCACGGCACGTTTGGCATTCAAGAGACGACTTAGCTGCAAATGTAGGAGCACCTCTATGTGGGTGACCTTAAACAAGTTCGAACAGGATGGGTTCCTTTCGAACGCAAAAATCCACATGATGCTCCTTTGGCGCAAGCGATCGGACTGGATTGGACACGCACTGGCTGATAGTACAGCAAGTGCCTGGTCGGGGTCGTAGAGAATGAACTCTCGGAAGGTACCCACCTGGCATGTATGTGAAGTTCAATGAGTCTGTAGGTGATTTATCTTTACAACCCTTGGTATGGTTGCAAAAAACACCCGGAACCCCCCCAAAAAAACACAACAACACAAAACTGTGCCAACAACAGTGAAGATATGTCCATTAGCCGCTTTTGTGGTTCCAAGTCTCACAATTCACAGCCGCATCTTCCCAAGGCCATGGAACAGCTTCATCCATTTGCTTAAGTCCCTTGGAAAAAATCGGGAAAAATATGTCCCGTGGTGATCGTTTCCCATAAAAAAGGGCAAAATACAAAAAATATGCCGAGGCTTCGAGTGTCCCTTTGGACGAGACTGGGGCCCTGGCATGGGATCGCAAGGCGAAAGCCATTCACGTCCATCTAGTTCGACCAAAATGAGCGACAAGGACTCATACGCTGCAAATGCTACAACGAAAAAATGACGGAAAACAAAAAAAACACCTAAAATGAGGCAGGCTCGGTTCCACGAGGGAAAACACAAACCTTCATGGTGGGCTCTTTTACCCGTCCCCATAGAAGGTTAGCTATGTGTCAAAGCAAGAACATCACAGAATTGGTCTTGACAACCCTTGGTATGGTAGCAAAAAACTGACTGTTTTTGCAGCCGCCCACTAAAAATGAACAGAACCAAAAAAAACTAAAAACCCAAAAACATGCGAACAGCAGTGAAGTGGTGGTCTTCCTTTTCCCTTCAAATGCTTTGGCTTAAAAGGGGTACCCTTTTCAAACAACAAAAACCCTCAGAAATCGACACAGACCCTCCGCTCGCTCGCTCTGCGCTACTCAAAGGAAACGCTCAAAGCGCATACACACGCGCCGGCAGCGCCGCTGCCCAGCGATCCCCGATCAGGGAGTCGAACTGGCCAGCCTTGCACCTGCTTCGATTCAGGTGCCGGCGCCAGGAGTGGGAACAGCTCACTGGGTCCTCACACGGGAAACCGCTTCAAACCCATATGTACACATATCATATATTTTTATATCTATGTATATGTCAGCCCCTTCGATGTGATCTATTTGTTTGCTTCTTGAAGTCCTTTCACATAGTTCTTGCGTATTGACAGTGCACTTTTAATGCCAGACTGGCTGGATAACTATATAATGACTATATATATATAATATATATATATATATACATACACACGTTTGAGATACAGGGTGAAAGTAGATGGCACAATTCTTTTCTCTCAGTAGGGGGGATGATAAAACCAACAGGGAATTGTGTCATGGACTTGCACTCAACTCTACTGATACTCACCTTTTGAAAGGGCTGGAACTTAGTGAGCAGTTAATTCAATTGTCATGCTTCTATCCATCATGGCAAGCCGGCTGTAACCATTCTAAGGTTTGATTCCACATTCTTTCCGCACACGCGCACCCAGTGCAACGATCGCTCTTTCCAGCCGTTTTCCTCAGCTTTAATGTTCTGCAACGGGCAATGCAGAAAGCCTTAGGGGTAGGGGCAATGGACTAGACAACCCTTCCCCTAACCTTCCAGAGTCATGAGCCGCAGGGCCATTGTTCTTACTGGCAGCGTTCTCTCCCCATCGTTACTTTCCCCAAAACCATCGTTCTTTCCCCACAACCATCGTTCTTTCCCCAGGGCAATCGTTCTTTCCCCAATCCATCGTTCTGTCCCGCAGAAAGAATGGGAAAGTTAAACTATTCTTCCAAGCATCTATTTTTCTATCAATTTCCATTTTTTCTTCCCGAAGAGATGACCGCTGCTGCGGCGGGCCGCCATTGGAAGAATGAGGAAGTGGACAATTGGGAACTTGTGGAAAATTGGATCGCGGGTACCACTTTGTTGGGTTTGCTGATTTCGCTTCCCGCGGTGCCATAAGGATGCTTCAAGCATCATTTCGGGGGCTGGCAATGCTTGCTGTGAAGCCACGGGCATTGTGTTTGTCAGTGTCGCCTTGGCAATGATTCATGACATGGATGTGGGCAAAAAGACAAGTCCTTTTTTGGCATCCATTTTGGGGGAACATTGGATTCGCTCTTCAGCATGGGGAGGTGTGGCCTAGAACCGTGGTTAATGAAGGACCTGGAAGGAGAAGGTTTATGATCTGGCGGCCGGGAAGATCGATGGGATTGAGCTACCCAGCAAAAGGAAACCAGGGAATCCAAGGTCCTTTGCAGTAGAGCCCCACGTTTTTCTTCAGTGTCAACTTGTCACCCAAGTAGGCGAAAAAAGAACCACCAACCAGTGTCTGACCACTAGAACAAACCCCCAGAAATAGTCAAACAAGAACGACGACTCTGCTTTCTGTCCCCGATACGACTTCCCGATTACTTGGAAACCGGGGCTGTTGTTGTCATACCTTGATCAAGATGACCCGAACCATCCGGGGCCCCGGCTGATCTAGAATGTCTGCGGCGGGCTTCTTGTCCTCCCGAGTCGCCGTCGCGAGTTTTGCTCGGGATCCCTCAAGGCTTGTGGGGTTGGTGAAAAGTCCCTTTTTCGGGAACCCAAAAAAATAGAAACCAAAAGGTGTTTGTGATTTTCGGTGGTTGGTTTTGATTGGTTGCCAAGGCTTGCCCCCTTTTTGAGATTGTCTTTGCCCACCTAAAATTTTGAGATAAAGCCTTTGGTCGACTGAACAAATATGGCTGTGAGTCAAAAATTGGGTACCTAGCATGAGTTAGTTGCCCTGGTGAATGGAAACGACGACTAAAACGTGCGTTCTTCGGGTGGTTTAATGTTGACCCCTCTTTTGGAATTGTTATTTAACGGACCATTCCATCTCAAGAACGTGTGCCGGAGCCGCATGACAGAGCTAGCCAAAAGGACACTGCCCACCCAAAATGTGTAAACAACGCCTCTGATCGACTGAAAAAAAAACCTCCGCGCGCCTTGCACACCATGACCTTCCCCAGGGCCACTCGACACAGCAGCATCCAGCAGTAGCCGTCCGCATCCTCTTCGCAGTACTCATCCGCCTCACATGGCTCGGACCAGTGCGCCACGTCTTCTTTTTGGAGGCTCGGCACCCCCCATTCTTTTGCGTCGGTTTTACGGGGAGGCCGAAAGGAAAACCGAGGCCCATTTTGGGAGTCCGGTTCCCTGAAAAAGACACACACCACTTCCGACTGAATGTAAGGAGGGTCTACACGCAAACCGTTGCCTGGGCACGGGGAAAATAGAGTATACCCTGCAGGTAGTGGCTGCATGGTGGTTGTATACCCCGTTCTCCCCTTCAAAACAGTGATTTAAGGTACGGAGACGGAGACCCTCCTGGCGCCAAACACCTGCAACTGTGCCACGTTCAGTTTCATGCGGGCAACTGGGTGTCCCCTTGAAAAAGTAGATGGGTTCCACCGAGTGCTCCAACCCCAAACTAGCCAACGAATTTCGAGCTGACCTTAAGGCTTACGCAAGCAAAAAGACGCGCCGCACCTTCGTCACGCACTCCGCGAAGTAGACGCCTTTTCCGTACAATGTCCCCCTGGCCGGAACAACTGCAGCGGGAGAATCCATTTAGTTGATTGCTCAGGTTAGGCTTAAACCCAGCGGCTGATTCCTCCAAAGGGAAATCCTGGGTTTCCGCGTACCTTGGGCTCAACTAAAATGGAACGCTGACGGCGGTTCGTTCGCGTTGGAAGCAAGGCGAAACAAAACAAAAAAGAAAAAAACAGGCGCCTGTGGCTGCCAGCTTTGTCCAGTCGGAACCTGAGGCTGACAGGCATGCGGTTTCGGTCACCTAAATGCATCCTCCAATGAAATCAAAAGGGACCCGTTCATGGCTGCTGTTCATCTTGCCCGTGTCAAAGTAGGCCTTTGTCCACTTGTCATGAAGAAAGGGCATTCTTGCAGCCTAAAGCCAAATATTCACCTTTGAGGTATGAGCCACGGAAACATCGTCCGGCCCAAGACTTTCTCCGGGTGTCTCTTGGCTGGGCTGTCCAAACTGATCCCCTGCTAAAAGTTTAATTAGCCAGTGGGTTAAATGCGGACACCCGACCACCTTTCACCACCTACAAACTTCTAAACGCCTTTCTGGAACCGGACCGGGAATCGCCAAATTGCCCTGAATGTTGGGTAGGCCATCGATTCGGACCAAACATTGAATGGGCGTGGCCATCTTTCTTTCCGAACCCCCTCCAATATGCTGGCTTTCTTCGTGGTCTCCCTTTGAAACCACACAAACATAAATCGGGGGGGTACTCTCACTCAACAAACGACGGACCCCATCCAAACTGCGCCGGGCAACTCTTGGTCCGAGATATTCTGCACCGCAGATCTGGAGGTGCCGTGGAACAGCCTCGGCTCGGCAAAGGCCTGCGGTACCGCTGGTTTGCTCTGGGCGGCTTCCAGCAAAGCGAAGATCCCAAAACGGGAATGGGGAAGTCTTGAATCCACCTGAACATTGGCAAACCAGGGGTCGCTGGAGTTCCCCAAATTGAAAGTTGATCGTTTTGCTGGTGGCGTCCATTGAAATTGCCACTTTGGGGATCCCAAAAGAGAAATGAGTCAGAAGCCCGCTTGAGGAGCCATGCCAAATATGATCGGGCGTGGTAGTTGTCCATTCAAAGCCAATTCAGCGCCCCCCACGGGCGTCTGCTTCCAGTTTATGCAAACCTTTCTGGTACGGAGTGTGTGTGTGTGTGTTCAGAAAAAAGGAAATTCCCTACCCTCAAAAACCAACCCTCCCTTGCAGAGTTGCCACTAAACCAGAAAGAAGCCCCACATGACAGGGTTGGGCCGGCCAAGTGCTTAAACGGCTTAAACGAACAAATGTTTAAACGCAATTTGCTTAAATGAATAGGCAGCCTCCGGGCACAGTGTTTAAACACGTTTAAACGTTTAAACACGTTTAAACGTTTAAACGACATGGCAAGCCAAAACCTGCCCTGGATAGGGTTCCCGTCCCCCAGCCACACGTAAGGGAGCATTTGTTCAAGCAGGCTTCCAATGTCACTGTCTAGTCGTCCAAATTTACAATCTAACCCTTCTTAGGTGTCTCTACAGTCACCGTCTCAGACACTGGCCACTGGGGCCACTGCACGCTTCCGTCTTTGCTCGAGAATGGACGGAAAATTGACATGGCTTTGCACGACGGCGCCTAGAACGTGCGGATCCAGGTTGGTAAATGCCAGTCGGTGCCGGCGCCCCCTGCTGGAGAACACCCGCTCTGCTGTGGCCTGACTCGCGCGCACGCCAAGCATGTAGCGTGCCACCGGAGCCATGAGAGGGTACTGCACAACGCCAATCTCCCTCCAAAACTTCAAGGCATCATGGTAGCCAGGTACGCACACACCTGCGTTTTGAGGTCAAGCTAGGCCAGCTCCTGCACCTTGAATAATTGATGTTTCGGTGGGAGCTGCAGACGGTGAGCCCCGCACGGCACCCAGCAACCATAGTAAGCATCCCTGCCTCTGCGAATCTGTGCGCAAAGATCTTGGCCCCCTTTGGAAATGCCGCTTTCGTGATCCGTTGTGCTGCACCCTTGCTGGCTCAGCGGCACGTCCCACATCTCAAAGCATCGCGCAATCTCTTGCCTTTGATCGTCTGCAGCTCCCGGGTTGCACACGCTGCAATAGTACACATTCTGCGTGACATTCTTTGATGGGGGCTGCCTCAAGTGGAATTAACTCCACAGCCAGCTTCGGCCCGTGGGCACATGCCTCTCGACGTCTGACGGGTGCACTTGCGACCGCCGCCTGCTGAAGCCTTTGCCGCCGCCACTTCCAGCCGGTCGGCGCGTGACCGCTTGCCCATTGCCAAGCACTCTATCCTACCATTGGAAGCCGCTAAACTGCGGATATTTGCAGTGCCCCTTGCCACTGTGTTCACTCTGCACATGTCTCAACGCTGACCCCGCAAAGTTTAAACAGTGTTTAAACGCATGGTCAAAGGAGGACTGTTTAAACATTGTCAAGCAAACGAGGAACTCAAAAAACGTGTTTAAACGGTTTAAAGATTAAACGGTTTAATGTTTAAACGGTTTGGCCCGACTCTGCAAGCCCGACAGCAAGGAAGTTGGGCGCCTCCCGAAATTTTAGTTAATTTAGGAACGTGGCGGGGGATGAGCCAAAACTATTCGGGCCCTTTTGGGATTGTCTAGGTCCTCCAGTAGAGAGGTTAGAATAAGGGTACCCCATTCTTTTTCTGTAGTCTCTTTTAGTAGGGGAACCGAATCTCCCCCAAGAAACGGTAAAAGTTGGCGCCTAGCTGGGGGACCTTGCCAAATTCAAGCCTCCTGGTCCCAGGGGACTGCATGCCAAACTTGGTCAAGACATGACACGAGTGAAATCAACTCACGGTGAAATTCGGTGTAGGGGAACCATAAAACCAAGCCTTCTACACGGATGCCTCAATCTTCTGCTCAAACTTTTGGTCTCGCGGTATGTGAAATCGGATTCGGACCCCCAAAATGGCGGGGTTCCTTTTGGTTTCCCTCCAATCCAACCTCTAAAAGGGTAGCCTCCTGTCTAACATGGAACCCACCAGAGAACCCATTTTTTCTTGAAATGGCAGGGCTATTTGCCCCTGCGGCCCAGCAGCCATTGCTCATTGGAGGACTGGTCCATGCTGCCCAGAATCTCCTGCAGGTCCTTGCTCTCCATAGTACCTCGAACGGCGATGTTCCTTCAGGTTCCCTCGAAGCCAACTTGGGTACCCTAAAGAGCCTGCTACCTGGCACCCCATGTGCCCATTTTTTGGCGAAACCCCGCTACTTGGCCGATTTGCCGGTATGACCATGTTTTCCTGTCATTTGCGTATACGACCGGTGTGAAACCCGTGATGAATGGTGAATCATTCTTTGTTCAACACATTTGTTGCACAATATGTATGCTTTTTGTATGACAATTTGTTCGGTCGAAGGTCTATGAGCAAAAATAATAATAAAACGGCCACATTGGACGACAGATCATTTGCATGTTGTTCCTTGAGTCGGGGCTCTTTGCAAGTTGTTAGTAACAATGGTCACAACCAACTTAGGGAGCTCCCAGCCACTTGGGGGGTCTTCAGCTGAAGGCGAGAGGGGGTCTCTGCCCAGACAAGCTCAATGGTCCGGAGCGCCGGGGTGCGCGGTGGGTCGGTAGGGCTCCTAGAAGGTTCCACACAGGTGGATGCCGGAGTTCGGAGCGGCGGGATTTTTTTTCTTTCCCCCAGACCAATTGACCAAATGGGTATGGATCAAACTAAACCAGACCGCATATTGGTAGTCCATGGTTCCCATTCACCAGGAAACCCGTTTTGGGTAGATCCAGAGACAAAGTATGATGAGGACAGGAATAGCAGGACAAGATACAGTGGACGGGACATCCAGGATTAACTATTGCTGGCCTAGTATGAATAAAAGCATGAAAGGGACAGGATACCAGACAGCCAAGAGAGAGGAGAGGTAGCATTTGTTCATGAAGCGGCTGCTCGCGTTCTGGAACCTGGACTTTGTTAGACTCATTTTGGGGCCGGTTTCCCCATCAAAGAATCTAGAGGCGCCCTACGTCCCTCCCGAATGGACCATTGCGTGTTGGAACCTCATACAGGATGTTTCACGCCCATGATTTATCAGAAGTTTGTCCCAAAAAAGGAACCTTCACCAAGGGTTCCCCCAACTAACGAGCAAGCGTTCCCCTTTGTTCCGGGAATGCGCGAGCACCTGCTGGCCCGTCCAAATCGACCGTGGAACCATGGTTCCCCCACGTTCCCCCAACACCCTTTCAAGGCAAACAAACACCTGGGCATATCCCAGGAAACGGCACTGTGCGCCTGAAAAGGATCTTGCTGCCCTCTTGGTTGGGTCTACAACCCCTTTTAGACAGAAGCAAAGCCGCACACCGCAAAATGACTCCAACTCCATCCCGGTGGCAATTCTATCGCCCCCCCCCCCCTTCCCTTCGCGCAGCGAGCCTGTCAAGAGGGAGGATTGCATGCCGAAGGGGTCCCAGTGGAAGGTCCCATCGCCTGGCCAACGGCCCCGCAACTTTTAACCGAAGGGCACTGAACAAACCAATGGAGGGGTCGAGTCCCATAGGACACCTCGTTGACGAATATGACTCCAACAATTTCCCAAAACCACAGATTATCTTGCTGGTCAGCAGGGAATGTTGTGGTGTCCTTTCTTCGGGAATTCCTAGGTTCATTCCCAAACCCGGGGTCATTCCTGCTGAGCATCAGCAAGGCCTTGACCAAATCCTGTTGGTCCTTGTCTTTGGCACGGCTGGTGAGCCTCGTCCAGGCCCCTCGTGCAGCCAGGACGCTGGAAGCCAACTCACCCCCGCTTCTCCCGCTGGTTCGGCCTTCCTCGGCTCAAAAACAGAGCTGCAGTGGCCACCAGGTCCACCGCATTTGAGAAAATGGCAAGGCACCACCGGAGGTTTGCTCGAAAAGAGGCAATGGTCAAGCATAGGCATGGTAGGTCCTCCAGTTCAGAGGTTAGAATGAGGGTACCCTTTTTTCTGTAGCCTATTTCAGTAGGGGAGCCGAATCTCCCCAAAAAAAGGAAACGGTAAAAGTTGGCGGCTAGCTGGCAGACCTAGCATAAGATCTACCAGCCTCCAACTCCCAGTGCCACCTTCTCAGCCTGAACCTCATCCAGGTTGCCCCCAGGCAACTTGAGCCAAACAGACGGCCCCAATTCTAGGGGTTGATTCCTTGCCCTTCTTTTCAACCATCGTTCTTTTATCCAAAACCGGATCTGTTTCCCTGGGTTTTAGATGGTTTCCTGAAAAGAAGGATCCCTGGAAAGAATGGGGAAGGTAGCCCTGGACCAATACCAATTTGCGTCCCCGGCGGTTTGAAGAGAAACCAAGAGGATACCCAGTACCAATTTGTGCGTGTCAACTTCTTGGGGGACTCCCCAACGATGGCGTTCCTGTTTTTTCCCTCTTGAAAACCACCCAAAACGAGGTACCCTCCTAAAAAAACGGCCCGCCCATCTTTTTTCGGAACCTAGTGGAATCCAAGAGGAGAAAAAACAAGGACCACGATTTGGCCGGGGCTCCCAAAACCGGAATGCCGAAATGGGCTGCCCTGGTCAATGAAAGCATGGCTGCCAAAACCTGCGGTCCGTTTTTCTGGTTTGATTTTGACCCATACCCAAATCATGGCGGCTTTTCTGGCTCGACTTTGACCTTTTGGCCCATTCCCATTTGGTAACCGCCGATTCAGAGCCGAGCACTCGCCGCCACCGACTGCCGAGACGCCGAGGCGGAGCTGCAAGACTCGCAGTCGGCGTTTTGCTTCGCCCAGCTGTCGTCGGCAAACACCTCGCTTCAGCCATGAGGGTCAAACCACCTCACAAATGGCGGGTCAAAAAGAGGTACCCCAAAATGGGTTGCCGTGGTAAATGGAAAACATGGGCCAAAACCTGGGGCTTTTCTGGTGGTTTAATTTTGACCCATATCTGAATCATCCTTCCGGGATTGGAGGAAAACGGGGTATTTTTAAGGGTTGTGGATTTGATTGGAATGTGGACAACCCGGACTCCTCTCTCTGCACGCGAAGCCTTTTTTGTTCAATTTTCCGATTTTCCTCCGACCTCAGCCCATGGCCCACCAGTAGGGTTCCTTCAACATCCAAACACCTGCTCTTCAAGGGGAAAGCTCCTCCAAATCAGGTGGTAGTTGGGTGAGAACTGCCTGGCTCCAGCTGGCTGTTGCTCAAAACACCGGAATACCCAAAATGGCTTGCCCTGGTAAGTGGAAACACGGACCAAAATCTGCGGTTTGCCCCTGCCGTTCAATTTTGAGCCACACCCAGCTGGTAAGTATGTGAAATCAAAAACGTGCACGTAGGGGTTTGCAGGAATGAGAGAGCTTTAGGCCACAAATGACGGCTCGGTTGGGCCAAAAATTGTGGCACCCATGAACTTTGCAATCGCTGCAAAAAAAGAGAGAATCAATTTCATGGGTCCGAACAGGTTGGCAGGTAGTCAAAAAGGAGGGTGTCAATACATAGTTGCGGATATGCCTTTCTTGCTTTGTCACTCACGGAAAGTGACCCTAGAGTCCAAAAACCAACCATCATGGTTCAACTGACCAAGGTTGACCCTAGAATCCAAGTGACCCTAGAATCCAATTGACCAAGGTTCAATCATGGTTCAAGCGACCCTAGAATCCAACCAACCAGGCTCGGACTTTCCAAAACGACCCCCCCCCGGCTCCGGCTCCCCAAAAGCACGTGCTTAATTTGGCTTCCTGGAGAGAAGCTGGGGCCGTTCCTGGACTTCCATCCGGGTTCTCAATGAAACAAATTGGCCCAAAGGTCTTCGCACCACTTCGAACGGCTTGAAGTTCGCACCTTTGGAAGCGCTTTCGGAACACGAACTGACACGAGCTCCAATGCAGAAAAAGAAGCTCCAACGATCAAACTGCAGTAATCATGTCAAACTTAAGGACTGCCAAATTCATGAGTGTCTTTTTGGGGGAACACCCCACATAGTGTTGCGTTCCTTTGGTTTACCTCTACACGGAAAAGAGTCATCCTCAAAAACAAACACGCCTCGCCATCTCTCGAGAACCTCGAAACGCCCAGCCGGCCTTGTTGCAAATCCGCATCCTGGCCTGCCGATGCACGAAGAAGGGTGCTTCGAAGCCTTTTGCCATCGTTGGGGGGGGGAGCGCCGTTGTTTGAGACAAAATTGGTTGAAAAGAATGGAGAATCCCAGGAGAAAGTGCGTGTTTTTTGTTTAAGAATATGTTTCTGCAAAGAGTGGGAGTCAACCTCTAAAGGGATGGCTTCCAACATGTGTGAGCTATGCTCAGAAGAACATGGGACAAACACCGTCTCCCCCAGATTGTGTGGAACACGCAGAGAGAAACAGAGAAAAGGAAATGGAAACAGAAACAAAAAGAGAAAGAGAAAGAGTCGAGGAACGACAAGAGAAAGATGAAGAGAACTGAACAGAGATGGAGAGAGGTAAACAGAGGTAAACAGAGGTAAACAGAGGTAAACAGAGGTAAAGAGGAAAGAAAGGCAAAGAGAGGCAAAGAGAGGTAAAGAAAGTAAAGATAGGTAAACAGAGGTAAACAGAGGTAAAGAGAGGTAAAGAGAGGTGGTAAAGAGAGGTAAAGAAAGGCAAAGAGAGGCAAGAGAGGTAAAGAAAGTAAAGAGAGGTAAACAGAGGTAAAGAGAGGTGGTAAAGAGAGGTAAAGAGAGGTAAAGAGAGGTAAAGAGAGATGGAGACAAATGGAGAAAGACGAAAAAGGCAGAAACAGAGGTAAAGAAAGGTGGAGAGAGACGGAAAAAGAGGAAAGAGAAAGAGAGATGGAGAGAGAGGGAAAAGCGGAAAGAGATGGAGACGAGAGACGGAAAGAGATGGAGAGAGCCGGAAAGAGATGGAAGAGAGAGAGAGAGAGAGAGAGAGAGCGCCTTTCAAAGCGACTTGGGATCATGGCGGGGCATATTTAAGCGGGCCCCCATGCCCTCAAACTGTCGCTGGACTACCAAAGCAGGCTGTCATTGCCTCACAATTGGATCGTCGAGTCATGTCCCTCAAACTCCCCTCATAGCCGGGTTCCTTGACTTGGTTGACGTTGGAAGGGGAGCAAAAATTCAAATTTTAGCAGTTCAGTGGTTGGATTTCAACCACTAAACCACAATAAGCAAAAATGCAATAAATGTTTCCCAACAACAACCATGTTGAGCACCAATTTCTTCGCGCCGTTGGCAAACCCTTGGCAAAATCTTTCAACCAGGCGGGCCCCTGACGAAAAGGAACCAAAAGATGGATGTTTCAAGCATGGGTGCTGAAATAGCGGGTGTTGGCCCGCTGCTGAAAGGTGCGCAACTGCCATGGGTGCTCCCCCGATCTAAACCAGTAGAACCCATCTATTTCCAGTCAAACTAACCTAACAAGGGCACCTAGTGGTGGGTCTTAGGGGGCCATGGTCCTGTACATGGGATGACCATTGGGGAAGGCACAAAAAAGATGATATGTCCAACTCATGGGGGGGAGAAATTAACGTCCATGGTAAAAAAGTGGGGGCCCTCTAAGTGGAATCTTGATCAACACCTATGTGTTCCAACCCACTTTTCCCCGCTGACTCGTCTCCCTGACCTTCCGCACGCGCCTTGCTGTACTCCATCCACGCGGCGCCGTTCTGCACCCGGACGGCATCCACCATCTCCAATCTCAACGGCACAGTGTTGCCGCGGCCTAGGCTTTTGCCCGGAATCCGGGGACCCAAAAGGGCGCAACGGCATAGTGTCCTTGAAAAAAAATAGATGGCCCTGGTAGATTTTTAAACAGGTAAACCAGCGCCATCTATTTTTCGAGCAAGACAACCAAAAAGGACACCTACGCGCAACGGATTTCCTTTTTTGGCTTCCCTGCCAAAACCACCAAAAAGGAAGGAGGGGGGGGAGCGCACCACAAAAACAAATGCACGCCCACTGCTCGTTCTGGAAATTATCGACATCCATCTGCTTAAGTCCCCTGGAAAGAATGAAAATCTGTTCAGTAGTGAAGTCGTGTCCCTTCAAAATCAATAGGGGGAAACGGGAAACAAAAAAAACACTTAAGCAAATGGAAGTCTAGGGGAGGCTTCTGACCAGGCTCCGGATTCATCCGACGTTCCATCCCATGGGCGGTGATGCCCACCGACGGCCCTGAGGGCCGCGCGATCCTTCGTGCCCTTACACACGAAGCAGTGATCCAGAAGCCTGGCGAAGAAATGGTAACCTCCCCGAAATATATATATATATATATGTTTAAAAAGAAGAAGAAGAAGAAGAAGAAAAAAAACACGTGCCTTGACAACCACGAACAGGGGAAAAAAAAGGTGCGAAAGTGGACCGCGAGATCAACTGCCAACCCATTTTGGTTCAGTCATCCCCTGACGCACATACAGGGGACTGCGACATCCGTGGCAGAACAATCCAATATGATTCATGTTGCAACCTGCTTGCTTACGCTATTGCCGGTTTAGATGGTGTTTGAAGGGGAACCAAAAAAGGAAACTGCGGCCATTTGGTTGGGGGTCGCACTCAAATAAGCGGACCTCTCATTGGTGGTTTTGGTCTGTCCCAGGATTGGTGTATTTCTCTGTCAGTTGGAGCGCACAATGCAAACATGAACCAAACAACTGGGCAAGTCCCAAATGAGTGTGAATTTGCATTCGGGACCCTCTCACTTGGGGATTCATGTCCACTTGGGAGGTTTACCTCATGAAGCTTCATAACGGAATGGATGACAGTCACGCTGCAATACCCCCTGCAGCTTTTTCCTAACTAACTGTAGACCTTGGTTTTTTAGATGGCCCAGTCGGGCCGAAAAAGTCTCGTTCCGGGCCAGATCATGTAAACCCCCAGTGCTTCCGATGGGCGTGCAAGCCACTGTAGGCTTGCCCAGGGATCCTTGCCACTAGGTTTTACTCCGATGGATTCCCCTGGAGCCAGTATAAACTCAAATTCTCGGAAACCTTCATGAGTCGTGGTACTCCCTCGAGAACTTAGGCAGACAACAAACGGCACGAGACCAAATCGACCTGGGAACCCTTCAGTTGTGGCAAAACCCCTTCGGCCGCAATGCAAATAAACCCCGCCACATCACTAATGCAGGGCTGTCTGGTCAAACAGTCGAGGCAGAACCGAGCCGAGATCTGCCGGAGAAAAACATTCGAGTGCCAAGCGGCTTCTGGAACGCGGGCTTGCAATCAGGTGGAAGCAGTTCTTTGTTGACCTCAGGCATGTGCGACTGATGCCAAATTGTTGTCAAACAGCTTGGGAGATTGTTGAAAGGCAACCCCTGCTTTGACAGGGTCATTCCCCAAAAACCCTGCATAAAGAATAGTTCTTTGTTTTTAACAAAAAAATGCTCCACTTGAATAAAATCGCTCGTTCAGGAGAAGAAAGAAAAAGAAGAAGAACAAGGAAGAGGAAAAAAACACGGGGAACCGCCCGCTTCGCATTGCCGGTAAGATCGCCGCCAGCTTTGCAGCAGAACCGCCGACTCCGCTGCTCAGCATCGCCTGGCTCTGGCAAAGCGAGCGCTTCCGACTTGGCAAAGCTAACTAAGCGGTTCGTCCCCTAGGTCCTCCAGTAGAGAGGTCAGAATAAGCGTACCCTTTTTTTCTGAGACTTTGGGAGAAAATCCTGCACCGGGTTGGTGGGTTATTTCCCTTAGGGTTCATATGCTAGGTGGGGTGGAGTGGTTCTAAGAACCTCGCCGGAGAACCCGGGTTTTGGAGAAAAAGCCGGGGGAAGGGTGGAAGAAAGGTAGAGCTCCAACAATGGTCACTGGACTGCCCTCCAAGAGTTGATCCATTTACTGGTGGTGCCTCTTGAAACGATCGATCCATGTTCAGAAATCCAAAAAGAACATGGAGGCCCCGGAGGAAGCTGAGCTATGTTTTTTGTTCGGGTAAATCTCGAGAATCGGGAACCGCATGAGGCACCGCGACTCATGACTCGCCGCGCTTCTGGGCACCTTTGAAGATGCCCAGGGAGCAAAATCAGGTGCATTCCAGTGGTTCCGTTGAGGCACTCTTAGGCGGGACTGGTTGAACATGCAATGCGCTATCTGGCTGCTTCCAATCAATTGTCAGCACCCATCAATTTTGAGGGTATCGTGGGCGCATCCGTAGGAGGGCGTATTCGCGCGGCATATAGGCATTGTTGTCGTAAAGACGCATATTCGATGAGCTGGCATTGCACGGCGTATTTACATCACACCCAAGCTGAATCTTACGATTACTGTGAACCGACCGCTGCCTTCCATATCTATATACATATCTATATGTTATATCTATATATTACTAGGCTATGATCCCCCCTCCCCGCTTCCAACCCCCTCTTGCGCCCCAGCTCACACCCCCTCTTCCAACCGCTTCCCAACCCCCCCCCCTTTCTCCCCCTCCCCCCCTCCAACCCCCCTCCTCCTTCCAGCCCCCCCCCGCCAAACCGCCAAACTGCCGGCTTCTGCCAAAACCCCCCCCCCTCCCTCCCCTTCCCCCCCCCCCCGTCCAACCACCACCCCCCCCCACCCCCCCCCTCCCTTCGCCCCCCGGCCCCGGCCTCCACGTCCCAGCCGGGCGGCAGGCTCTTGCTGATGGCCCGCGCCGCGTGGCTCTTCACCGCCGAGGCCCAGGTCCGCGCCGAGGCCTCCGTCTCCGCCCGCGCCTGCAGGGTGACCCGCTGGTTCCGCATGTGCAGCGTCAGCGTCTTTCCTACGCGAAGAACGGAGAGAAAAAAAAAAGGGGAAAAGACGACACCGGGCGGTGAAGAGTGCAAGCAAAGTTCGGAAAGTGAGAGAAACAAATTGTGAGTGAAATTCGGAAACCCAACAACTAAACCAACAAACACAAGTAAACACAACCAAAAACCTAAGGAGATGGCAGGGAACCGCCAACAGAAGGCGGATCCCAAGCACCGAACATCCCAGAGAGTTTGGGGGCGAACCCCCCAAAACCAACACACACACACACAAACAAACAAACAAACAAACAAACAAACAAAAACCTAGGAATTCCCAACACAACAAGGTCCCAACCCCACCCAAGCCCTTGCCGCTCCTTCCACCGCGACCTCCTCCAGCTGAGAAAGGACCAACAGGGCCGCGGGCGACTGTCTTTGACCTCGACCAGCAGCAGCGGCGCTCCGGGTAAAAGGCAAGGGGCGACGTCCGCTTTGGCGCGCGTTTTTCTTGGGGCAACTCGAAAACCCAGTCATTCCAGGAATCCTTCTTTCCAGGAGAAAACCACAAACTAAATTGGGGGACAGCTTTCGAAAAAAGGATGCTTGAACTGGTGCGCAATAGCCACCCCGATAGAATCAGGCAGAACTCCAGGACCTCCGGCTTTCTCAAAACATGTTCCGACCTGTTCGGAAGCATCATCTTTACAACTTTTGGTATGGGCTTGCACAAAACTCCTTGTTTTCGGCAGCCCGCTAAACATGAACGAACCAACAAAAACTGACTAACCAAAAGCATGATCCAACAACACTGAAGTTTTGGTGACCCGGCAAATACTGTAACCGAGCCGTCAAGTGGACACCAACACATTCTTTGCACCAGGAAATGGGTGAAGAAACAGCGCCGGACAATGAACAAGGTTCCTCATACTTCCCCCAACATCACTCAAAACGGACACTCACTTGAAAAACAAAAAACGCCACCAGAAGGCGATGTTTACAACCCCAAAAGCCAACGGGTTTGGCTCAACAGTAGGGGTTCAAATGAAGCCCCGGCACATGGAAATGCCGAACACCTGCGACGAAACCCTGCGGCTTGCCCCAGGTGCACGCGGACTTGGTCTTTGGGGCCTGGGGCCCCGAACGGGCTGACGGCTCCATGGCCCAACAAATGAGCTGCGAGTCTTTCAACTCGATGAAGCGCTTCTTCCAGAAGAGGCCTCCAGACGGGTGTCGATCTTTGGGGGGTGTCTATTTTTGCAGGGGGTCTATTTTTGCAGGGGGTCTATTTTTGCAGGGGGTCTATTCTTTGGGGGTGTCTATTTTTTGGGGGTGTCTATTTTTTGGGGGTGTCTATTTTTTGGGGAAGCCTCCCTTTGGCTTGGTGTTAAGGGAACCAAACAGTAAAACCGGGGGGTTCCGGCTTCAAAGAACAAACTAGAGGACGATTGGCCCGAAAGCATTTTTCCCCAGGTGCTCATCCAGCCGCGGAGACACCTTTTTACATCGCTGCGGCGAGCGTGTCTGCGCGCGGCGATGCTCAATGTGTATGGTCACATGAGAGCTCCATCTCATCGTCCTACCAGAGGAAACATGGCAGCGCTCGATCCCACATATTTACATCCGTTAAAACAAGAATAGTAAAGCTCGTAAAGCTCGAAAAGCTCGAAACGAATTACAAGCAAAAGGAAAAGTAATCAATAGCAAAGCTTACACGACGGCCACAGTTTTCTGCAAAGCACGCTCGCGCAACTTAGCTCTGTGCAACATGGCTCTGCGCAGCTTGGCTCTGTGAAAGTTGGCTCTACGCAAGCTACTTTTCGCGAGTGGCTCTGCGCAACTGGCTCTGTGCAAGTTGGCTCTGCATGTGTCTGCTCGGCGCAATGTGCTTTGCACGAACTGCGCCGCGCGATTTCTCACGAAAGTGGTCTGCGCAAGCTACATTGTTCCAGGCTGCTGCGCGCAAGTTGCTCTCTGCAAGCTGCTGCCCGCAAGTGCTCTGTGCAAGTTGCTCTGCGCAAGTGCTCTGAGCAAGTTGCTCTACGCAAGTGCTCTGCGCCAGTTGCGCATGTGCTCTGTGCAAGTTGGTCTGTGCAAGTTGCTCTGCGCAAGTGCTTTGTGCAAGTGCTCTGTGCCGAGTTGCTCTTCGCAAGTTGCTCTGCGCAAGTGACTCTGCGCAAGTTGCTCTGCGCAAGTTGCTCTGCGCAAGTGCTGCCGGAGCCGTGGGAATGTACTTCGCGTACTACTTTTTTGTACTTAAAAGTTGCGATTTTCCAGCCGGAGCTGCGGGAGTGTGCTCCGCGTACTATGTTTGTACTTAAAAGTTGCGATTTTCCAGCCGGAGCTGCGGAGCGTGAGCACGCTCCGCATACTACGTCTGTACTTAAAAGTTGCGATTTTCCAGCCGGAGCTGCAGGAGCACGCTCCGCGTACTACGTTTGTACTTAAAAAGCTGCGATTTTCAAGCCGGAGCTGCCGCGGACCAGGGGGGAATCGAACCCGCGACCGCGGGATTGCGAAAGCAGGCGCGCAAACCACCAGACAACTTCCACAGGCCATTTCGCGAGCAACAAAATCGCACGGCGCCACAGCGAGAGCGCTTCGACACGCACGATCTCCGCAGAGGGTTCGCCGAGACCAAGAAGAATTCGCACGGCGCCACAGCGAGAGCGCTTCGACACGCACGATCCCCGCAGAGGGTTCATCCGGGAATGTCAAAAACGCAAAAAATAATCCTCAAGTTTTTGCACCTCGACCACGCCGATCTCCGCAGAGGGTCGCGCGGGCACCGACAAAAACGCAAAAAACAACCCTCGAGTTTTTGCACCTCGACCACGCCGATCCCCGCAGAGGGTCGCGCGGGCACCGACAAAAACGCAAAAAACTCCCTCGAGTTTTTGCACCTCGACCACGCCGATCCCCGCAGAGGGTCGCGCGGGAATATCAAACATCGCAAAAAAAACTCGAGTTTTTGCACCTCGACCACGCCGATCCCCGCAGAGGGTCGCGCGTGCATGTTAAAAATCGCAAAAACAACTCGAGTTTTTGCACCTCGACCACGCCGATCCCCGCAGAGGGTCGCGCGGGAATGTCAAAAAACACAAAAAAAACCCGAGTTTTTGCACCTCGACCACGCCGATCTCCGCAGAGGGTCGCATTCCCGATCGTCGGCAACATCCCCACCCCCCGCCTTAAAAGAGATTCTTGATACCGAGCTCTTTCTCTTGCTTTCCCGCGCGTTAAGTACTTAACCTAACTTACTAAACCTAGCTTACACAGCTGCTAACGCCGAGCCTCTACACCTAGCTTAGCTTAGCTCTATGCACCTAGCTCTATGCACTTGGCTCTATGCAGCTGGCTCTTTGCACTTGGCTCTGTGCACTTAGCTCTGTGCACTTGGCTCCGTGCACCTCGCTCTTTGCACTTCGCTCTGAGCACTTGGCTCTATGCGCTTGGCTCTTTGCACTTGGCTCTGCGCAAGTAACTCTATGCTGGTGACTCCATGCTTGTGCCTCTGCGCAAGTATCTCCATGCTGGTGACTCTGCGCAAGTATCTCCATGCTGGTGACTCTGTGCAAGTATCTCCATGCTGGTAACTCTGTGCAAGCTACTCTGCGCTAGTAACTCTGCGCGAGTATCTCCATGCTGGTATCTCCATGCTGGTGACTCTGTGCAAGCTACTCTGCGCAAGTTGACCAAGAGCTCCTGATATCTCCATGCTGGTGACTCTGCGCAAGCTACTCTGCGCAAGTTGACCAAGAGCTCCGCACGGAAGAACCCTTCGCCATGCTTTCGGGAAAAAAAACGCCCGAATGCATGCGGCATCCCAACGCCGGGACCACACCGGGCTGGCCATGCCGCAAAAGCTGAGGTTGTTCAAGAAGGAAGGGCCCGAGAAAGTCTAAAGGTCCTCTCCTCCCTTGTTTTCGAGGGGCCCCTGTTATGAATCAGCCCAAGACTTGACTCAAGTGGGTGTTCCTTTTCTTGGAGCTGGTCTCCCTTCTTGGTGGGTTTGAAGGGAAACCAAAAGGAACACCGGAACAGCTCCAAAAGAATCAACGGCCTAGGGTCCAAGGAACCTGGCTGTGAATGAGATGCTCTTTTGGTTTCCACTTAACAGGCGCTTCCCCTCAACAAAACGACCCCCGCCGCGCCTGCAACTGGCGTGCCGGCCGAAGCCTTCGCCAAACGAGCCACCTCCGTCGCAGCAAGCGAGCCGGTTTTGTTTCAGGAGGGTGAACCACCTAGATTGCCAAATTGCTGCTTTTTTCAGTCACTGTTGCTGGTGTTTGGGGTAAAGTGAATGAAAAAAAACAGCAACTGGCGATCCAGGTACCTAAAATCTGGGTGTGACTTTCTTTTAGGGAGCCCTCAAAAAAAACATGGTGTTCCCTTTGTTTTCACTTGAAAAACAAGAAAAAATAAATCCGAGACCCCCCCAAAAAAGCAAAAGGGAAACCACGCCGTGGTTGTAAAGAGAACCAAAAGGAAGCCGTTGCCATTTGTTGGGGGTCCGATTCCTAAAACAAAGCACTCAAAGAAAAATACCCACCCCCAAAAACAAATAAAGACAAGGAACATGCGGGTTCCGTCACAAACTGGTTTACGCGCTTGAAGCTTTAAACTTTGCCCACCCCAACTTGGCCCAAACCGGCGTTCGGTATTGCTCGACGTGAAGCCGCACACCAAAGGGACAATTGAAACCCCAGCTTCAAGCCATAGCCTATGGAAAAAGTGTCTTCCCAACCCGGTGACGCCACCTTCTGCCGCACCGCTTTCGAGCATTGGGCATGATACGAAACCAAACTACTTGCAGGCCCCCTTGGGAAGCATTGCGACAGTGCAACATCCGGCCCCAATAATTCGAAAATGAGTTGGTACCGCGCCGAATGTGCTTGGTCAAAAGCACCACTTTGGCCCTGGCGGTTTAAAGGAAACACCGCCCAGGAACCTTCCCTCCGAACCGGCCAAAGTCTATACTGTTGAGGGAGCCAAAGTCTGCCACCGCTCTTGCGATCGGTGCAACAAATCGACAGGGAAGGAGAAATGGCATGGAACTGAGTGTATATCAAAAACATGGAACTGACGCTCGGGCAGCTTCTCTTCCCATCCCCAAAAAAGGTCTTTAATCATGGGGGCTGGGGGGGAGGGAGGGGAGGGGGAGGGAGCCCAAAGCCCTAAATAAGGCCCTGATTTAAGGGCTTAATAAGGGCTTATTTGGGCTCCCTCCCCCTCCAAGGTCTGTTTTCTTCCCGGCGTTTTGCCGTGGTTTGGCTGATGGATTCCTCTGGGCCAGCCAACCAAAAGGGAAGCAGAGAACATGTCGCTCGGAGTTCGAGTTCTGCTTTGGAACCTTACTTCCTGACTGGACTGGCCCAAAAGAAGAAGACAAATACATTGTCTTTTCCGTCAAAATGATCTTGCGGCAAAAAAACAAATCCAAACAACATGTAACGATGATTGTGCAAAGGTACAATGACCAAATTGACCAATAGGAATCGCAACCAACGTCGCTGCCAACATTCTCGGAGCGGAAAACAAAGGGCCCCACCTAGATAGCCAAGCTGCCGCCTTTTCTTGTCAGTCGCGGTTGCTGGTTTCTGGTGGTAAAGTGAAAATGAAAAAACAAAAAAACGAAAAAAGCAGCAACCGCTTTCATCAGCATTCTTCAGACACATCACCTGCAAGCGAAGCCGCTCGCATTCTTGAAACCAACTGAAGCCCTTCGCCTGCAAGCGGTTGCCGCTGCTGGGCTCGCCATAGCCTCGGCGTTTCGCGATGGCGCCCAAAAAGTGGTGGACCCGGAAGGACGCTATGGATGCCGAGTCCAGGTGGGGGTGCAAGCGGTTTAAAGGGACCCCCACTCCCAAAAAAGGAAAGATGTGGGTTTTCCTTCTGGTCTTCTTTCAAAACCACAAAAAAGGGTAAGTCTGGAAAAAGGCACCGAGCCACTAGCAAATGAGCCAAGATCCAAGCAGACTTTTTCGACATAAGCGGCTCGTCCTGTTCTGAGGCTCGGTTTTCCTTCCTGTTTCCAAAATGGATGGAAACCAAAAGGAGCGAAATGCGCCATTTTGGGGGCCCAATTCCTGAAAAGAGGGCAAGCCACACATATCTTTGAAGTTGATGCAAGAAAAAACGCGCCGCGTGGGGAAGCCTCCGCTTCTTTGAGTCCGTGAACCGTGGGGAAGCCTCTTCGCCTTCAAAAAATTAGCTGCCCAAAACGCAGCCAGGTTCAGGCGAACCGCGCAGAAGTCAAACGGGAAAACCTCACAGGTGGCTTCCTTTCGTGTCCGGGAAATCCCAGTTTGCCGATGATAGTCGGCGACCAGCCATTCGCCTTTTGCTTGTTACAAGGTGGTTCCTTTGGTTACTAGGTAAAGGGAATGATTGGGAACCAAGGGATCCGAAATCCATCTATGAGGAGCTCCCATTTGGAATTGGCCCTGCTCGAATCCCGGGGGCAAGACCTCGGCTCAGTGCAGCGAAGCAGCACATCAACCAGCCGAACATTTCCTCCAATGGTTCCTGCCCGGTCGAATTTTGCGAAGCCAACAACTTCAAGAATGACAAAACCAAGAGCCTCGAGCCCCCCAACGGCTCTCAAAGATTGTTTGTCTGACCTCCCTGTTGTTTTTTCTCTTCTTCTTGTTCTTTTTTGGGGGCGGGGCATGTTGACACGCCATTCGGACCCGGAAGCGGAAACATCTTGCAGTGACTCAAGTGATTTGAAGGTCCGGAAGCGGAACTGAGAGCGAGACGTGCATCCAAACCAATCCGATTTCTCATGGCAACGGCTTCGTTCAGGCCGTTGAAAAAGCCCAAACAGCTATACCTTGCCATGAAGGATCCTGCCAGGTACTGGTAACCATAAACAAAAAGTTGGTTCACTGTTTTTTCGTGAATGACAATGGTTCGATCGACGCCCAATCCATCGAGCAATCACATGAGCCCCCGCAAAAAAATACTTGGGCTGTCCGCTTTCTGATCCGCTCTTCAAAGTTTAACTTGTGGGCTAAATGGAAACCCGACCACTAAACCAACTACAACTCCTAAACACCTTTCTGGAACCAAATGGCTAACCACCAAGTTCCATGGCGATCCCATTTCGTGCCTCCGGCACGACCGGAGCCTCAACACTTTCAAAGCTCCTGCTCGCCTCCTGGCCGAGGCAAATCGATCAGCGGTCGGCTGATCAAACGGAGACATAACCTCGTGGCTGAATCGATTTTTACTGGGGTTCGCTCATCTGCGCAGGTTTGAAAAGCGCTAAGTCTCAGCCTGTTTGCTAAAAACGATAGAAACACATTTGGTGAAGCATAGCGACATTTAGTGAGGATCGAAGGGAATCCAGCTCACTTTTGTTGGTACCGCAGCAGGGTGGGTTCGAAACCTGCGCTTCATCCTTCAACTGGTTTTCATCTTTCTGGGGTGCCTACTCCTGATCTGTAGTGTGTAGTGGGACACCTGGTTTGTTGCTAGGTAGCTGGCTGGCTGGGTGGCTGGCTGTTAGTGGCTTATCTCAAGGTGAGTTCGCAATAGAAACAAACACACGCCACCCACGCACAGGAACCTCCACAGCAAAAACGAAGCAAAGATGTCCCAAAAATGAGCGATCACGGTTCCTGTAAAAGTCCTCTGATTCAGCTTCCCTCCTAGGTTCTCCAGTAGAGAGGTTAGAATAAGGGTACCCTTTTTCTGTAGTCTATTTTAGTAGGGGAACCCTCCCCCAAAAAGGGTAAAAGGGCACTACTGGGGGACCTAGCCTCTCATTTGTGGTTCGGATTGGTGGCACCAAAAGGGGGAAGCTGACCAAATAATCATGGAGGCCAAAGTCATGTCCGGCTTGCTTCCAGCGCTCGCTAAAACAGCAACCCCCAAAAGTGGGTTATCTGTTATTAACAACCCCGGCGTTTTTTAATAATAACCCCAGACGAGCGGGTCCCCTTCAAAAACAAGGAAAACATGAGTGGGTACCCCTCCCCAAGCAAACCCCGCCCCTCATTGATACATCCCGGGTTCCGCTTTGACACAACCCAACTGAAACACAATGTGTTCCCTCCAAAAAAAACACGCTACACACACGAAAAGAAACACACCCACCCACCACACACACAAGCTCATATATACATATATATATATATATATATATGTTCCAGGCCGTGAACCCCCCCCTCCCCCCCCCCAACCCGCCCACCCCCCCCCGGTGGGGTGGTGGGGTGGTTGGGTGGTTGGGGTGATTCGGAGTCGGTTTAGGCTTGGTGGGTTGGTTTAGGGTTGGTTCAGGGTTGGTTTGCGGTGGGTTTCGGGTGGGTTTGGGGTTTGGGTTGATTTAGGGTTAGGGTTGGGGTTAAGGAGGGGTTGCAGGGTGGTTTGGTTTAGGGTAGGATGTCGGGGTGAAAGGGAGTCTGGGACCGAAGCTGCAGGGCTCACACGGTACTGGACAGCATCCCCAGCATTGCCAGCATCATCCCCAAGATGCAGATGATGCGGGGGAGTGGGGGGACCATACCATTGGGGGGGGGGGGTACGTGGCCAGGGACTGGTTCTCGAGGAATTGAGGGTAGACAAACTGAACGTCGGAAGTACTTAGGAGCCCAGACTACTGCATGCTGAGCCTACTAGGGCGTAGCGGCGCCCACTTTGAAAGGGGGGAAGGGCCCTTAAAGTTCAGGGTCGCCCGCGCAAATGGGTGGTAACCGCGGGTGGTAAGATCGGGTCGCAGTGTTTCAAAGCCACATTTTTCGCGCCTGAAAAAATGCTCCTGAACTCCAACAAGTGTGTTTCTCGAGTAAAGGAGGCTCGGAGGCGTCCACAAATCCGCCGACCCCTTCTCCTGAAAGGGGGAGGCGCACGGGAAGGGTGGTTACAGCACAAGTCCAAGGTGGGTTGGTAAATGAGCATATCCGAAGATTCAACATTATCAGCGTAAGCAATACCGTCATCGTAGCATCCTTTGCACCTCAAAGATGTGTCTTTCTACACCTTTCAAGTGTGGGTTAGAAAGCATTGGTGATGCAGAGGATGCTACGATGATAGTTATTTTCCGAGCTACTATTATCGTTGTCATCCTTATCTTTCTCCTATCTGATCAGATCTGTGTCATATACGTTTCAAGCGTGCTGTTAGACCCGGTTGGAGATGCAGAGGATGCGTAGTGATGACGATGATGATGACGATGATGACGACGATGATGATGACGATGATGATGATGATGACGATAATGACCACCATCATGGTGATGATGACATGGTCATCATCATCACATTATAATCGTTGTGACCTGATTGGAGATGCAGAGGATGCGTAGTCATCATTATCATCCTGACTGTTGGTGATGCAGAGGATGCACGGTGATGGTTATCATCGATGATGATGACCGTGATGATGACGATGATGAGCGACGGCTCTTTATGTTTTTCATATACGATTCAAAAGTCCCGTTAGACCCGATTGGAGATGCAGAGGGTGCGTAGTCATCATTATCATCATGACTGTTGGTGATGCAGAGGATGCACGATGATGGTTATCATCGATGATGATGACCGTGATGATGACGATGATGAGCGACGGCTATT